AAGTGCAGGACGAACCCACCTCTGCCGGCCACAAGCGTCTATTTTTTAAACTAGGAAAAATATATATATATATATATATATCCCCCCCACCCATGCACCAACCTCTGGTGCCGTGATTACGTTTAAAGCTTCAAAGCGTGTTGGATGTGCCTCGCCTAATTTTGAATAGTTAGCAAAGGAGATTTTGTGCAGTTCCAGTACTTGTATGCAAGACACGTGTTTTGCAACTTTTGTCGTTGAGGTGGAGACGAATAAGTCAAATAGAAGAACGATTGCTGCACTCACAAGATTCATCTCCGACGCAGACTTGGACACTGACTCGGTATCAGTAAGATCTATGCAGCGTTGGCAAAGCTTGTGCTTCTGCCCCTGTTCTTTGTCAGCCTCAGCACATATCCTTTGGAAACGGGCGCAGGTCTGGCGCACACGAGCTGGCGCCACTCTGTAGGTGCTCTGTAGGTGCTCTGCCAGCGGCCCTCCATGCGGACTCCATCTTACCGCGTGCGCCGCTGCCGACCCCAGAGCAGCCGCAGACTCGAATGCCTACAAACCAAAGTTGTGAAAGAAACCTCATGGTTCAAGCTAACGGCAATAAACCAACGCTCGGCCGGCCATCGTCGACATGCCACCCAAGCCAAAGCCCCAACTCCCGGACTTCAGTCAACTATGAGCACTGCGACAGCCTGGACGATAATGTGCTGCTTTTGTAGCCTCAGCTTTTCCACGTAGATGTTGCGTGGTAGCTTTGTGGTTTTTATGCTGCTATCGCAGGGGCAGCAACCACCTGGCTCCCCGCCCTTCGAGAGTGCTGACCTGCGCGGAATTGGGTAAATGTGCCGTGAAAGCATTGCCGCTTGTCTAATATGGCTACACGGTGTTACACGGGGTTGTCGCAGATTCGCCCTTGGCGTCCTTCTTACGATCCTTTTGAGCTTTGCTGTCAGGTGCCTGCAGGAAGCTTGTCGCAGATTTGCGCTTGGCGTCCTTGAGAAGTCAAAGCTTAACATTTTTTGCTTTCTCGAGACATTTTTTGCTTGCCCTGAGTTGTTTTTGATTTTTGAAAAGAAACCAAGCAACTTGATGGTGTTTGGCTTTTAGACGCATGTGACGGAGACCTATCAAACTTGAGAGCAAACCAAAAACCCGAAAAACAAAACTCCGAGGAAATGTTTTAGTCTTTTGCAAACCTCGTTTTTCTCGGTTTTCATTTGTTGCGTACAACTAAAACAACTCGACGTTGTTTTGGACATCTCAGAAACAGCAAGAATCACAACACACACACAAACAGCTCGAGAAAATCAGCAAAACAACGCTGAAGGCAAAACTGAAACTTCTCTCCAGAGTGTTTTCTGTGGGTTTCTTGAGTTGTTTTTTTAGTTTGCGTTGCCTCTTTTTTTCCGGTGATTTCTTGCTTATCCCTGTTGTGGGCATGATTAAGTCATTTTAGAGCCGCAGTGAATGGGCGACCAGTGAACTAGATTTTCGATGTAAAGCAGAACTCAACACTTGGCTTGTTTGTCTTGACCCGAAGCTGTTATAAAGCCTGCAAAACTCATAAGGTGCCTGATAAAACTTCTCAAGCTCACTGTGAAGCTGCTTGTCAGACTCCTTTTGCTCCTTGTGCAGTTCCTTTTAGCCCCTTAGTGAAAGTGCTCCGAAATGAAAAGGCTCCTGGTAAGGCTCACAATTCCTCGTAAAGCTCACTGGTTAAGCTGCTTATAAGACTTCTTGTAGAGCTCCTCATGAAGCCCTTTACTCATGTTTAATGAGGTTTGAATATCTCTTGGATTAGACGATTGATAGAACTGAAGAAGGACAGAAGTGAATTTGAATGTCTAGTTCGGTTTCTGAAAGCAGGATTTTTGTTCACATATCGAAGTCAAGTGCACTGCAAATGGAATAAGTCCCCACTTAGGTTGTTTAGCTTTTTGGCTACGCAATATACTACAAAGGTAGTTCATGGAATTTTCAACTGTGCGCAACAAGTACGTATGTATACATACATCCATCCATACCATACCATGCCATACCATATCATACCAGACCATACCAAACCATACCATACCATACATACATACACACATGCGTACATACATACATACATACATACATACATACATACATACATACATACATACATACATACATACATACATACATACATACATACATACATACATACATACATGCAATGTGCATATCACACGCATATATACATACACACATGACACCTTTGCCGGTACCATGAGCTGCTAACACTGACTTTTCCCAAAAGGCAGCAATGCGGGATTTTTGGGTTCCTTGGTGGAGTTGTCAAGTGACCGCAAAGGAGGCTGTTCAGAAAGTCAGAGGAAAGGCAAACCCCGAGTGAGCTCCCAAGGTGAGATACATGAAGAAACGATGCGCCCTACGTGCAGGTGGAGTACGTGGTGCGCACGCAGCTGGGCTTCTCCTTTGACTCGCTGAAGACCTTGCACTTCATCACCACCTTCGCCGTGGCGTGGCTGTGAAATGGGGAAAAACTCAGCGGACGGATTGACCGAGAAGAAAGTGCTGCAGACGAAACTCGCACAGAGGCCGAGTTCTTTTTTAAACATCGCGGGCGTACCGTTTTACCTGCAGAAAGTGTAAGCAGGACCCAACACCGACCCGCAAGAAGCCTAACCAGAGCCAAGAAGCGCTTTTTAAGGTGAACGGCAGACGGGTTTGCTTGGAACCGCCCGAGTTGAGTGCGGCTGAGGTCTCGAAGGCTGCTTGCTCCTGACCAGGGGGTCGAGCGGGAGGGAGTCGGGAGTCGGGAGTCGGGAGTCGGGAGCCGGAGGGCCAGGCGAACATCTTGGCTTCGCTTTGGGTGGATCGGCCCCAAAAGGGAAACAGTGGGAAATGGAGTCATGGCTGTGGTTGCCAAAAATAGGGTAACCCCAAAATCGAACTCTGGCAAATGGAGTCATGGGCTAAAATTCCCGCGGTCCAATTCCCGGTAAATGGACCCTTTCAACAGAAACCTGCGTACGCCTAGGTCTTGGATTTTGAGTAGCCTTTGAGAGGAATGCTCTTGTGATGAACCGAAGGTGTTGACTTGTTGGCCCGAAGCAAGTTTTGCGCACCGAAGGAGCTTTTGCGAAGTTGTTCAACGCTGATGTGCCGCTGGATTGCTTCTGTAACCAAGGATGCCATCAACATCATGAATTGCCAGGCTCTCGATGACAAGTGGGACGAGGATACATGGCGAAAAAGGTTTCTGAAGGGTCAGCCAAGTCTTTCAGGAATAGCCAGTGTCAGCCTTTCAGTAACTGTGCGCTTTGATTGGCTTACCCTCTTTCCAACCCTTCGGCCCCCAAATGACCATGGGTAACATTGGTTGCAGCATATCTCATCATTTTGTGGTTTTCCACGCAAGGGTCATCCCATGTGTCACGGACCTTACCCCAAATCAAACCGCCTTCGGCGGTTTGTGTCAGGACGGAGTGGTGATGAAGAAGGTCACGGACTCCTTCGTAGTGACGGGATAGCGTTCAGAGAATTCCCAGCCGCAGGTCCGACGAGTTCAGCGAGTTTTTCCCGCAAAATTGGGTACGGGTCAAAATTCGTCACCACCAGGAATTGGACCGCCTGTGTCAGTCCATGTTTCCATTTGCCAGGGCAAGCCTTGACCCACAGCCTCATCCGTTGGAGACAGTCTGCTGAAGAGAAGACCTTTGGCTTTTTCAGCTGTTCCGCAAGCAAGTCTGGGCTTCAAGTCGGATTGCGGATGGAGCGATGTGTCACACAATATAAAATGAAAGAGCAGAGCAAGCGAGGCGAAGGGAAGATAGAATGCAAGGAAGCGAGAGTGAAGCTTGGTTCGCTAGGACTTCTATGCGTTAGCTGGCTTTGCATGGTCTTGGCTTGCGGCTACCCAGAAATAGCATTGCAAGTTTTCAAACAGATGCTGCTGCAGCCGAATCCCGAGTCTTTTGTTTCAAACTTTTACATTGCCAGTTGTACCTGAATGACTTGACATTTCCTGGATTCTGCTTCACAGCGAGAGCATCATTTTTCCTACTTTTCGCTGTGTGCGAAGACGTTTTCTCAGCACTTCTGCTGAGAGCTGGGGCCGGCAACCTTTTCGCCTCCGTGCCATTTTTCAGCAGATTGAAGGTGTCGTGCAAGGGGGCCACAGTGGTTTCACTAGGAAAAGACGGGATCTCGCTTTCAAAAGAGTTGGCTGCTTTGGGAGCGCTTGCTCAGATCGTGTGCAGAAAGCTTCACGGTTACACAAGAGGTGCCCAAAGCTCTGCAAGTAGCCTGATAACCAGTGCATTCCATTTGTCAGGGTGTAGGATCTGCTGTGCTGACATTTGCGGGGCAGGGAGGGGAGTGCAGCTTTATCTTATGAACTTTTGAGTGGACTTTGTACTGTTTGGCACCCACAAGCTTTCTGCATGGGTCTTGCAAGTCTGGCTGGATCAGGCTGGCTATGTGAAGGAGAATGGCGGCTGGAGATTTGCGGTTTGTTTGCTTGGCGGCTTCTTGGTTCAGCCAGCTGTCTTGAGCCATCGCATGCGAATGCGGCTCGTCGTCTCCTGGCTCGATGCGTCCACCCCTGAAGATATTGGACGATCATGAGACGCTTCATCAACAGGCCTCAGACCCAGCGCGAATATGGAGTCTTGGATTGAGAAGGCATCGTGAATCTGAAATGCAGGCAGCCTGTGACAGGGAGCCATAACCCATCCATGAGCGAACAACAACTCTTAACCCTGCAACCATCAGCAGGTGGGAGATACTTTTGGAAGACACTTCTCTCATATTGCCCAATTGGCCTTTGTTTTGTCGAGCATAGCCAGAACTCACATGAGTACGGGTCAAAATCGGACCACCAGGCTATGGACCGCAGTTTTTCGTCCTTGTTTCCGCTTACCAGGGCTCATTCCACTTTGGGCACCTATTTTGTCCCACCTTCACGTGGCTGAGTCACTGAGTCGCCAGAGCCGCCGCCGCTCGAAGCGCGAAGCGCCATGCGGCGCCTGCTGCTTCTGCTGGCGTTTTCAGATGCCAAGGCGGGCGTGAGCAAGGAGGCCGTTGGTAGCCTTCAGCCCCGGGCCTCAGCTTCGGCGAGTAAACCAACCCTTTGGAAGCCCATGGTCTGAATGAAGGCTGGTTGACTTCTCCAGAATGAGTCCCCCCCCCCTTTTTGTGTGCTTTTTTTGGGTCCCCCTTGTTTTCCAATGACTAGGCAAAAAGTATATTATTTTTTGCTGGGGAAGAAATGGCTAGTCATGGCTGGTCTTCGCCATGGTAGTTCTTCAAGTTTTCAGCTGGGGAGGCCGATCGGCATTGCACCGAGGTGCCAGATCTGTGAAATTGCCGTGGAGGAGGCGGAGGGGTGCAAGCACAAAAATGGGTGGCAACCACAATCTGGGCAGAGTGTTGCTTGTTCACAGTCAGAACAAACAGCAACTTTCATGGGATGTTTTTTTTCCCCCTCCTTTTAAAACAAATAATAATATATATATATATATATACAAATTTACGTGGCACGAACCCGTGTTGCTTGTTCACAGGAGGTTTACTTGGCCTGACAAATCTAGACCGACTCAACCCAACATAGAGGAAGGATGCAAAGGGCGTTGACCATGAGGCTTAAGATGCAGTTGGATGCTGGCGACGTCTGTGATTCAGGCCATCATTTACTCTCGCGAGAACAAGATCTCTGGCGAGGCTCTCGATTTCGCCCATGAAGCATCATGCTCGGGAGAAAGAAATGCTTGGGCGCACGGCTGGGAGAGCATTGGCTTGGCTCTTGGACTGAAAGACAGCCCCGGGAAAAAAATCATCTGGAAGGATGAGTTGTCCGACATGGTTGACGGACTCTGCTCTGTGAAGAAGAAAGAGGGGTGCGAACCTCAGATTTCCCACGCGCGGGATACGTTTCACCTGCTTCCGGTTGCACAGGCGCTGGGTGTCGCAGTTGGATGTCGTCCAGGAGGCTGACCTGCAAACGGAAAAGTCGCAGTTGAGGATTGCATTTGTGTGACTTCTTTTTTTTGGGACTTCCAAATGGATTTCCAGACCAGGGTACCTCAAAGAAAGCCACGCCCATTTTTCCCCCGAGACATCCCTGCAACTTGTCAGAAGCAAGGGCATGCTGCACGTCGGGATTTAACTCCAAAGCATACCCCTGAGAGAAGATGCCGTTCCCTTAGGATCTTTTGCGGTGATTCCTCATTTTCTTGTTCACACCTTATCCTCAGTGGGCTTGCAGCCCTCGCCCAGAGTTGGACCAACGTATGGCAAGAGGAAGCAGATCGGCCGCCGATGGCATGCGCATCAAACACAAGTCAGAATCAAGAAATAAACAGAGGAACGGGTGGCCCGAAAGCAACACATGTGTGTCAAATGCGTTCTCCTTTTGCGCACACGTCTTTATGCATGTCCTCCCGTAATCATGCTTCAGTGTTGCGAATGTTCAAGTCGTAGCTGCAACAGCGTTCTTTGCGTACTACTTCCGCTCACAAAGTTGCGACTTGTCAGACGAGCTGCCGGAATTGACTTCGCACACGAATGTGCGAAAGCCGCGAATGCCAGAACCTAATCTTTATTTGATCTCGCATTGCTTAAAATATATATAAAAAACATATCCCTTGGGCCTTGCTCGTCGATGCGGGTTCGCAGGATCCTGGCGGACCCCTTTCGGTGGAGAAGCAGGCGGGCTCCCGCAGAAGCACCTACGTGGCTCTGCAGCGGGCTCATCTGTTTGTGTGTGTGTGTGTCCTTGCGCAAAGTGTCTGCTAGCCTCTCCATGCTCAGTTGTTCTGGCTTTTCTAAGCTGGCCTGCCAGCGCGAAACAGCTGCGCGTAGCAGGCCGAATGCCACTTTCGCGGTTTTTTCTTTTTTCTTTCCCCAAAAAGTTTTAAGAGTGTCTGCATGTTCATGATCGATTGGTATGCTATTTGATGCCAATTGCTAAACATACATTTGTGTCCAGACTCTACAGATGAGCAGATGTGTAGCAAACCTCGTTTAGCACATATGGCATGCGTCAAGCGCATCCATACCATATTACCAACATATGCCCATCATTATTTTGGTCTCTTGCCTGGATGGCACACGCACACACACACACACACACATGGCATACCCTATCATTTGTCAAGCTTGCGTTGTGTCGAGCATATGTGTGACATAGCCCTGTCATGAGTCCAGGTTTGCTCCAGCATATCTGATATTTCTAGCATGTTTCTAGAGTTCTCAGAGCATGGCTCGCGTGTGCCTATTCCTAGAGAATGCCTAGCACTGTTCCAGCCACGATTTGCTGGAGCGTCACGTAGCCATGGTTTCACCCCTGTGATCCAGCTGTTTCCATCTCATGCCAGCAGTGCGTTTCTTGGCCCGAACCTGAATTCAAGAAAGACTTTGCAGCCCTCCGACCAGCGTTCCACTTTTTGACTCGCCCAAGATAGGCTTTCAAACCCGTGGGTTCTGATTCTGGGGATAAGCCCCTGTGCGCAAATGTCTAAGCTGGTAAGTGGAATCCTGCTCTGAGCTTCAGTTCCCAGAGATAGGACCTGCCATTTCGGGCTTTGCAATGCAGAAGCCGGATCTCGCGGTTGAACCGGCCCAAAATGTGGAACCGGACTTCGCACTGGCCCTCAAAAAATTGGGTTGGGCGGATTCTGACACTTGATTACACCCACTCTGGGTGGATTTTGTTCGACTTCTAAATGACAGTGGATTCGGGCCAACCAAGGTGCCATTTACATGGGCGGATTCTGACACTTGGTTGGCCCCACTCTGGGTGGATTTTGTTCGACTTCTAAATGACAGTGGATTCGGGCCAACCAAGGTGCCATTTACATGCAGCTATATAAATATATATATATATATATTCGTGTGTGTAGATGGCCGGGGTGCCCCCGTTTTGCCCTATTTGAGCAGACATTTTGCACTGCTTTGCGATTGTTGTCACAACAGATTTGAGCAGACATGTGTAAGCGTGCACTTCGGCAGAAAATATAAGATTGTTTTGGAGGACTTGTAGAAGGACTTTTAAGAGCAATCTTGGATGCATGAATTTTCTAAATACCGTATTTAGATCCTAGATCCAATATTGTTTTGAAAGTTCTTCAGAAGTCTTAGGCGTTTAATCCAGGATCCAAATGTGGCATTTTTAATCTAAATGCCCCAGTGCCGTATCACGATTTCTGGTACTTGGGTGCCCGTGTTTGTCTTTCTTTGCCTAAAATCCTGTGAACAATGACTAAAACAAGCAAACCGTTGGATCAATGGATGTCCCACCCTTTTCGATTCTAAGTATGGTTTGGGGGACTTCTGGGACATTCATGGATCCAGGATCTTGCTCGCAAAGGTCCCCCGCAAAATCTTTGATCTTGGATCTTGGATCCAAGATCGGAATACGGCACTTAGAATCTCCCGAGAGGCATATTTTCATGGATCCAAGATTGCTCCCCCTAGCAATCTTGGGTCTTGGATCTTGGATTCAAAGACGATATGTAAAAAAATCTAGAAACCGTATGTATAATCATGGTATCTCTCCCCTCCTCAATGCCGGGTTTTGTCATTGTTTAGTCAAGCTCCTGTCAAGCAAGTCAAAATAAAGGAAACTGGGGGCACGGCATACCTTATATAATACACATATCCATTCATGAAATGCATGTTACACATACTATGTACTCATATCCACGTACCATTTGGCAAGTGTACTTTGTGAAAGAGCGCCGATGGGTAGGCGCATGCCTGGCCAGGCTGACATCGGCTACTGCAGGAGCGAATGTACCATTGTCCAAAGGCCTGGCTCGCTCCCCTTTCGATAGCTTCCGATCGAAGTGAGATGAATGTCCAACTGCTTTGCTCTTGACCTGGGGAATTCCCGCAATGACAAATGGGAAAGGGGGTACGTCACTGGGGAGCTTCTCCGGCTGAAAAAAACCCATCCCCAACCCCAACCTCCGACCCCCCCCCCCCCCCATGTCGCGCGGCTAAGCAAAATCCCTGCTCCAGCTGTCTCAAAAAAGAGAGGAACTGACAAATGGCCATGGGTCAAAATCCCGTGCCCCCAGTGAACATCCCAATCCCCACTAAAATAGACTAAAATGGGTGGTGCACCTACCCCAAAATGGTACCTTTGGTTTTGACCCACAGCCAAATAACTCTTCAAAGCGACAAGACGCTCTTCAAAGTTGGTGGACAGCTTTTCTTTCAGATGGCCCGCGGGGACCTCTTTTGCGCTTGACAAAGTGAGTGTCACCCTGGAGGTCCACCAGGGATGAAAGGCGAGCTGCTTCGTGTTGGTCAAAGTTCGATTCGTTTGATTTGGCCAGGGCGTGCCAAACCTCCTTGCGAGGCGGGCTGGAGACGGAAGCATTTGGGAGAAGTTGGGGGTCAAACTCGTGTTTTGCTGTCACTTTGTTTTTTGTGATTGTCACGTGGGGATTGGACGCCCACAAAGGGGAGACTCGCCTGGTAAGCATTCCATTTACTCCAGGATCGAAGCCATTTCATCGTCTCCTTTCAGCAGGATAACATAAAGCTTGCATTGCAATTATTATCACTGTTGGTAGGCAAGACACACAAAACACGAATTCCAAGCAGTGATGTCATTTTTCTTTTCTTCTCTCTCTCTCTCTCTCCCTCCCACACAGACGGCTAGTCATACGACCTGCTGTACGATGTACTTAGAGAATGACCTTCACTCCTTGCTTTCAATAAGTTTGAGAAAAGCTTATAGCATGGACCGACGTCATTCCAGGTATATCACCTTGCCTTCAATGGCAGACATGTCATTCACCCTTTGCGGACTCCGCGCAGTTTATGGATGTCTCGCGCGCGAGGCAAGGAGGAGACCCTGGCTTCCTTGCTGCAGATGCCTGGCGCAAGTTGATGCGGTTGGAGTCATCAGGAGGGTCATCATCAGTCACTTTGAGTTTTCTGTTCCTGAATTGGCGAGGGGTCAAAATCCCGTAATTGCAGTGAACATCCCAATCCCCACTGAAATAGGCTAAAATGGGTGGTGCACCTACCCCAAAATGGTACCATTGGTTTTGAGCTACAACCAATTCACTCTGCAACGGGAAATCTTTGCAGTTTAAACATTCTTCCTGCTCTCCCGCGACGGATCCAGGTTGGCTATTCAAGGAAAATTGATCTGTGTCTGCTGTCTGATTGTGCAACACTCTCAGTGTGGTTGGGGGCAGAGGGCACAAGTGGCGCTTTGGCGCCTTGCCTCCACATCGCTGTTCGCCAGCGGACTGAGCAGATACACAAAAAAAACCCAACGCGAGTAGGATCCCTTCTTTGGGCATATAGTGTATAGGAACCCTTCTTTTGGGTATAGGAACCCTTCTTTACAACCTTTTGAAGGCTCCCCAAAGGGTGTTGAGAGCACCCGGGCCACTGATTAAGCCAAGCGCATGTTCAACGTCCCCATGCCATCGAAGCAGTTCAGTAGAAGGGCTGCGGGACCTGGTGATATGAACTCTGTGTGAAAGTGCTTGATGTCAACTTATCTGACTGAAAAGGCCTTGTTCGCGCATATGATGCAGCCTTCATACGAGCGAATCAACAACGCTCATGAGGTTTGAAGCTTTCATGCTGTGAGGTTCTTGGATGCGTCTCAAGCCTTTGCCAAGGAGTGGGGCTAAACCCAAAAAGATCAAGGACCAGGCTCCCTCGACCGAAGCGGCGTGCATGACCTGGCTTGCCATCTGTCCAGTTGGGTCGGTGCCACTTGTTGAAAGCTTTCTGGAGATGACGGTGACCCCACTTGTGCCTGCAGGGGCAGTGACACCCATGAAGCCGTCTATATGGGTATGGGTCAAAATTACACCACCAGGGTACCGCAGGTTTTAATCTTTGGTTCCATTTAGCAGGGTTCCATTTTGGGTACCTATTTTTGACCCACACCCATATATTGGGGATAGCTAACCTTCATTCGGGGAATTACCTTCTGGCAGGTTTGCAAAAAGATCTGCGGGAAGAAGCGGCCAAAGGTTACGGATTGGTCCGCATCCCAGCATGCCGTGCAAAACGCCTGCGTGCCCATGGTGCCTTCGTTGGGTCAGCAATGCTGGGGAGTTGCCAGATCCTTTGCAGGACTATCCATTTGCTACGTGCAACTCTGGTGACTTTGTTGGGTACACTGGTGAGTTGCCAGATTTTTTGTGGGACTATCCATTTGCTATTGGGAAGAGACGGTTGTCTTTGCATCTCGTGCCGCTAGGAAGGATGAGCCATTTGAGGCACGTGACCAGAAGGAGGCCAGCACGTGTGCTTCTATTTGTTGCTCCCCTTAGGGGGAAACGTAAACCACTGCAGAATGCATTGAACCTTGATGGATTCATGGGAATCCACATATTTTGTTGCAAAGGCTGCCTTTTGATGATCAATCGATCAAGTTGTTCAGTCAAATCGAAGATCAGTGTGAGGCTGACATCACTTGGGACAGGCTTTCAAACGCAAACGGCGCTATTGGGAGACGAATGTCATCACAGCGACCCCGGTGGCCGAGATGTTCCCAGGTAGAGACGGAGGACATGATCGCCAAGATGAAAGCTGAAACCGGCATGGGCATGAAGATGTACAGACGGGAGGCTGCCAAATGCCCGCAAGAATTGATGAGAGGTCTGCAGATGGGCTCGAAGAGCAGGTCGCTTCAAAGAGGTCTGCAGTAGCCTCGGCGCTTGTTGCCATTTGTTATTGCTTTCATGATGGTTTGAGAGCAAGTGTCTAGTTTCTTGAATTTGAGCATGAATTGCTCGCTTTCCAGCTGCACTTGGCAGGAACTCATGGGCATGTCCGAGGGCGACATGGAAACCATGGCTGCACGAGAGGCCGGCGAGGAGTTTAGGAGCGTTGTAGCTCTTCAGATGGCATGGCCAGAGTTGTGTAGAGCTTATTCAATATACTGAGAGTTTGCAGTTGATTTCTGCTTTCCCCATCAGACACATCCTTTGTTTTTCTTCTTCAACATCAAATGCTTTTGAGAACGAGGAGCCTGTCAGATACTATAAATTGGGGTAAAGGACAAGCACTTCCTTGTGGTCAGTCGCATAGGCCTTTGCTTTGAACTCGATGCTTGGAGGCCTTTGCTTCTGAGCGGCAGGCCGCTCGAATGGCAGAGACTGAGCTGTGATTGGATTCCGACGCCTTCGGCTGACTGCCCGTGGCCTGCCCCGAAAGTCCCGGAAAGGCCAGGGAGACATTGCGGAGAAAGGCGTTTGGCCGTGGGTCCAGGTCACGGCTTGGCTTTTTGCGAGTTAGAGAAAGAGCGAGGCCAAAAACTGGCTGGGGCGTCCACTTGGATTGAACGCCACAAAGACTGCCGCGGCACGCAAAGAGGATCGGTGCTGAACTACAGCTCACAGACGGCAACTCCGGCCCTGCATGTTCGCCATTGACACGGGAGAGTCAACGAGCCAAGTCCTTCTGCGGGGTACCCCGTTCTTGTGGTGGCACAGGGAAACCAAAAGCAAAGCCGTGGTACCCCGTCGTTCTTGTGGTGACACAGGTTCTTGTGGTGGTAAAGGGAACCCAAAAGGAAAGCCGTTTAGCCATCTTCCACCCCCCCCCACCCCACCCCACTCTCAGCCCACCCCCCCCCCCCCACCCCGGCCCAGCCCACCCGCACTCGCGGCTTTGGCTCCAGCCCTCTGGCCTGGCCACGGCCCAGTGCGTCGGGCTCTTGGGTCCGTGAGTCATGGCTCAAGCCATGGCTCAAGCCCGAGCCATTTGGCTGTGGGTCAAAACCAATGGATTGGTTGATGTTCACTGGGGGATTTGGATTTTGACCCATGGCGATTTGAATTCCTTTTTGGGACCTCCACGAGTGGAATTCGTTTTTTTTTTTTTTTTTGAGAATCACCAGTACGTTGCAACCTTTGAAGGGGAAATCCGGTGACCCCTGTCAGGGTGTTTCTGTGCCTCAATCCATTTTTTTTCTCAACCAGAAGCTTCATGTTAGTGGCAAGCCTCACACTTTGCTGATGTGCGAGGCCAACAAACTCACCGTGACCAACATTTTCGGGTGCTTGCAGAAAGTCCGTAGAATTACACTCAACGTGGGTTCAACTTTGAAACTAATTCCAAGCAAAGCAGTTGATCCAACTTAGGTCAAGCTTGACAGGAGTGGCTGCACCCGCCCCCGTCGGGTTGATCATACCAATGTCTTTTTTCGGCTGAGGCCGTTGGATCATGGCGTATGAGGAGTCCTGAGCTCGGAACGGAAAAGCATTGGTGGAGGTCACCGGGGTTCCCTTATTTCCTGGTTGTTGTTGGGAAGCTTTTTATTATTATTATTATTGTGGTTTAGTGGGACATCCCCACTTAACTGAGTTGATTTTTTTACTCCCCTTCCAACGTCAACCCTTCGATTTCAGGTTTGGAATCGCCACATTTGCTCCTTCGACTTCCAGCGGGATTCCGAGGGTGTATTACAAAAACCCTTAGATTGGAACACTTGGAATTTCAGGCAAGACATTTGGAGATCCTGAGAGCCTTCCAAGACAGTGCTGTTCTTGCCAAGCTTCATGCAGTTCGCTACGAATTTTGGGCGTGCCTTTTTTTCTTAGCCCCGGGCGGGGCTTCGGCTTTTTGCTTTTGGGTTGACCAAAAAGGGGACCCTCACAAAAAGGCTCACCCACATGTGACGACACCCTTTGATCCAAGGTCACACGATCTGCGTGACAGTCTACCAATCGACGCTCAGATGGATCGAAGCGCAGAGCACAGCCTTAGGTTTGCATAAGCAGGATATGCTGAGAGAGTAGATTTCGCGATTTTATGGCAGGCTGTCAGAACATTTGGCAGAGAGGGACAGAGGGAGAGAAAGGGAGAGAAAGAGAGAGAGAGAGAGAGAGAGAGAAAGAGAGAGAGAGAGAGAGAGAGTGAGTGAGTGAGTGAGTGAGTGAGTGAGTGAGTGAGTGAGTGAGTGAGTGAGTGAGTGAGTGAGTGAGTGAGTGAGTGAGTGAGTAAGCGCCAAGCACCTTTGAGCAGTAAGGACTTCCTGTTCCGCGTCTTGGCTGCATTGTAGGATGTCAGCACGGAGTGGCAGTACTGTCCAGCATGCCGGCTATCAACCACACATGCCGGCTATCAACCACACTGAAGTGGCGGAGAGACAAGATGTTCTTCAAACAACATGGGAGCAATAATAAGTATTGCGTAGAGCTGCAGGGTCCATTTTTTGCAGTGAGGTTGCAACTACTGCATCGCGCTTATTGGACAGGACAGGGCTGTGTGAAATCCGAGCTCGAAGTGGTTTGTTTACATGGGTCATTCTCAGATGGCTGTGGGATAAAAATGTGTTCCCAAAATGGAACCCTGGTAAATGGAAACATGGATTAAACCTGTGGTCCCATGGTGGTTTAATTTTGACCCACAGCCAGATGCCAAGCCATGAATGCCTGTGATTCGCGGTGCAGAATTCCAGTTTGTTTGCCCCTATGCAAGCCGCAGACCAGCTCATCCATGGCGCACGTAACGAGCAGCAAGAAGAGCCTGGCTTGCCGAAAAGGCCGTCCGAGACTTGCCGAAAGGACAGGCCTGTCTACATGGGGAATGACCAGAGCTCCCTCCTGAGCTGGACGGGGAAGGAGGTTTCACTCAGAACCCTTGCCGGCTCGAACAGCGTGACTCATCTCCCCGCACTTTGTGGTGGATCTGCTGCAGATCTGTTGGGGCACATGACACAGGTGTCCTTTTTAGGCTAGTTTGGTTAGACATAGATTGGTTTTTGGTTTAGATTGGTGATATTCCATAGACCAGGGAAACCCATCTGTTTTACCAAAAGGACGCCCATATTTTGGCCAGGACACCGGTTTTGTCGCTTGAGGCTACTGCAGCCCGTCCTGCCGCCGACGTGGCCGTTCGCTGCTCTACACAAATCTGCGCTCGATGCAGCGCGGGGCCTCGAGGTGTTGCTGGCGAGGGCCCGAGATCCAAGGCTCCCAGGGCTCAGTGCACTTCTTGGAGTTGGCCCATGTACATATATATATATACACAATATATATATATATATGTTTAAGAAACAGCATTATTCTGAATATATATATATAACAACAGCATGTTGAGTTGGGCATTAAACAACAACAACACATCTTTTCGGCAGAACCGGCAACTCAGGTAGTTTTTTTCTTCCTTTTTTTTTTAAATGAGGCTTCCAGTCTTCCCATGGGTCAGCCATGTCAGTTGCACTTGATCTAACAATTTTGGGAGGGGCTTTAAGGGAAACCACCAGGAAAGCCGAAATCCATTTTGGGGGCGTCCAACCTCACACCCGGTTAATGATTGACCAAGATGGACCAAGGATGCAGGGTGCAGACTCAGCCCTTGAAGGAATTTTGGAAGCAGCAAAACGAAGAAACCACCTGAATCCTCATATTTAGGCGACCTTGATATCACATGGCCATCTTCTTCCTCTGCCGCGTCCGCCAGTTGTCCTTATCAATGAGATGCTTGGATTGTTTTGACTTTTGGCCTGGCGTGTTGAACTTTTAGGTTTCCTTCTTTCTTTCATTCCTTCCTTCCTTCATTCATTCATTCACTCATTCTTTCTTTGATTCATTCATTCATTCATTCATTCATTCATTCATTCATTCATTCATTCATTCATTCATTCATTCATTCATTCACTCACTCATTCATTCATTCATTCAGTCTTTCATTCATTGTTTTTTCACCCTTTGTGTCTTTTTGCAGTTTGTCTTTTTGCCTTGTTTCTTTTTCTTCCTTTCGCTTTCGAAGACCTCAGTTGTCTCAGGTTGGACGGACTCATGGAGGCCAAGAGACCGGCGTCAGAGAGCGGCACCAGCGCGCTGAGCACCGCGTGGGCCTTGGGGTCGGGTGGGGGGCGGGGGGGGTGAAAGCCACGGCTTAGATGGACTCGCCTGGTTTCTGATTGGATTCACCAACGCTGCTTTGCATGGGTCAGCTCATGTGTCCTGCTCACACATTTTTCCGGCGCCACATACTGCGAGACATGGTGACTCAGGCACATGGTTTCAAGCATGGGAACTCCTTTCGTGGTGCAGGATTTTGCCCAACAGTGCGGGGGTTGATCAAAAGGTCCGTGATACGTGTTGTAAAGCAACTAGAAAGATGATATGTCAACCACTAAGCGGGAGAAGCAACCCATGGTCATTTAGGGGCCGAAGGGAATGTGGATCAACCCCCGCATGGGCGAACATCGGACACCAGGACTTGGACCGCAGGTTTTGGTTTTTCGTTTCCACTTTTACCAGGGTAACCCACTTTGGACCAGCCGAGGGACCCTTCCGAGGGGCCCGAGGGTTTTTTTGGGTCACCCCCCTTTTGTTTGGATTGCTGTCAACGCCAAGCCCCCCAAAGATTGGAGAGCTTTGCTTGCTCCCCAGCAAGTCTTTGACTTGCGATAGGGGAATGAGAAATGGAATGAGAAATGGAATGAGAAATGGAATGAGAAATGGAATGAGAAATGGAATGAGAAATGGAATGAGAAATGGAATGAGAAATGGAATGAGAAATGGAATGAGAAATGGAATCAGAAATAAAATGAGACATAGGGTCCCCGAGAGGGAAAAAAAAAAACAATGACCACCATCTCTCGCGCAAGTGCCTGGGGTTTTGGGTTCTTCCGGCCCATTTCCCAGGGCCCGCGCCGGCTGCTTGGGTTTGGCGGATGGCCATGGGCGTTTCAAAACCCAAGTCGGTCAGAACATCAACCCATCCATCAAGTCGGTCTAAAACTAAAGTGGGTGGTGAATTCACCGATCCCAACCAAAAATGGGTGGTGAATTCACCGATCCCCACCAAAAATGGGTGGTGAATTCACCGATCCCCACCAAAAATGGGTGGTGCATTCACCTACCAACAAAAAATGGGTGGTGCATTCACCTACCAAAATCGGATCCCATGGGTGTTGACCCACGGCCAGCCGGACCAAAGCCGATGGCAATGGAAGGCTTTTGGGTTCAAATCTGAGGCCTGGTCGGAGTCGTCCATGGCATCCTCGCGTCCGAGAATGGACAGGTCCGACAGCTCGCAGATGGGGCTGCGGTGGTCAAAGCCGTTTTGGATCGGATCCCATTTTGGGGTTTTCGGTGCACCACTCATTTTAGAACCTATTTTAGTGGTTGGATTGGGCTTTTTACTAGCAGTGCGGGAGTTTGACCCATGGCCATGTCTCAAACAGTCGTGGAGTGGAAAGAAACCCCGCGGAGATGCGCCTTTCAAACGGACCTTGGGTTGGGGTCTCGACTTCTCTAACTCGTTGGGTGACCAGGACATGAGCAGCTGAGCAAAAGGAGAGATGGGAGCATGCCTTCCTTGAGAATGATCAACTGGTTGGGGCTTAAGTAGAAAAGCGGTGACGGAAAACATCTGAACTCAGCTACATCTCAAGCTACTCTCCAGGTACTTGGATTTTGGCCTATGCGTGGCTTCAACGGCTTCTGGATACGGATCATTCCTTTGCTTGTCGCGTTGGCCTCCCACAAAAGTCCATTCGCCGCATCTGCCGTCGCTCCATCCGCGTGCTCACGCCAGGCCGGGCGGCCCACTCGGATGGGTGATTAGCAAGGCTGGGGTGTACGGCGCAGAGGTTGGTGGGGGCGAACCTAGGTGGCTCTTTTCCATCTTTTTGTAGTTTTGCAGGGAGACCCAGAGATTCAAACCGAAGCCATGTCGCAGGTCCCCGAAAAAGACGCGTCCACGTTTCCCCCTTTCAAGGGAACCACAAAGCGTAGTTTGCGGAGCTCTTTCCCGTGAGAACCAGCACGTTTGGTCGCGGCCTGTCCATTTCATTCGGTTTAATTTATTTGCAAGCTCTAAATCCAGCAAACATCGGAAGAGGTTGCTGGGGATGAGAGCTTTTTGGCCTGATGGTGTAAGCACGTATCAAGTTCCGTTGCTGGAAAAGGAAAAACACATCCTGGGAGGAGCTTCACAGCTTCAGTCATTTGCCAGATAGAATGTGATGGGCTCAAGGTATCAGACGATACCCATGTCATAGCCATGCATAATTCGGTGAGTTCGGTGAGTTTGCAGAGCGCGCAGGCTGCGCCCTTGGAGCGGTTTGCGCCCATGTGGGTGGTGAAGGTGCAGGATGTTCTCAAGATGAAAGGAAAGTTACGGCCGCACCAGGCCCTAAAGCATGAGGGCCTGCTGTTTCTGCGAGAGTCCCTGGACCATCAGCTGCTGGTACCTTCCCCAGAATTCGCTCCCCTTGTTTTTGTATTTTTGGGTCCCCTTGTTTTCCACTAACCAGGCAACAAATATAGTATTTTTTTGCTGGGGTCCTAATTCCAGCCAAGGTACTCTTTGTGTCCCACCAATGGGTAGGCAGAAATCACCCTGATGCAAAGGGCGAGCAGCTACTGGCTCTGCAATCGGTGCTGAAAAAGATTCATGCAGGAGAGATCTTGGTGGAGGATAACTACGTTTCACAATGGCAGCAGCAGAAGCGAACGGTTCTGAGTCGTTCGCACTGCACTAAGCTGCTGGATGCTTACATTTGGTATGACTATTTTGGTGTGCCTCAGCAGAACGAGGAAGTTTCCGTAGATAGAGAAGAGCAGTTGGCGCACATCGTCTCGATCCCTTACTATGTAAACTCCTGTCACATCTTCTTGGCTTTGACTCCAAGCCTGAAGAACGAATCAGGGCGCAGCCTTGACTATTGGAGTTGGTTGTCTCGCGGGTGGTGCCGCTTGGAAATGTGGTGCAAGCAGCTTTCAGATACTTCCGACATCCCGGTCATTGTGGTCGAAAGCGGCGAGACAGCTCACTTCGTGCTACCCCGGTGGCTGCAATATCCAGTGTCTGCGGGGGACTTTGCAGTTGAAGCAGATCGCTTCCATTGTTGCCAAACCGTACGAAAGGCATTGGAGAGCAAGCTGTCCAAGCTTTACAAGAGAAACATGAATCAATTCCGCTTCTTCACCGCCCGCTTTGACCGAATGGTGGGTCTTCCCCCAACCACAAGGAGCTTGGAAGACTTCTGGGGTGACTTTCATCTCCTTCCTGGGGAGTTCGAGCAGAAGGGACTAAGCCCCGTGCTTTGTGCAACATTGGCAGAGGACACACAGATTCTTCGTCGCTTGGCGGTGGCCCGGGCATCCCTTGAGCCAGTTGCGCCGGAAATGAAGTTTCTGAACATCGGAGCAGGTTTCAGACCTCTCCACCTGGCTGCGACTTTTGCAAGCCACAACTTACCACTGCTGGAGACTCTTTTGGAGCTGCGCGCGAATCCGAACAGCTCGCCGCTGTTGTCTGTCACACCCCTGGCGTGCTGTTTGTCAGCTGGTGCAGTTGAGCTTCTGGTTCGGCACATGGCTGACGTCAATGGCAGGTGTGGCATCTTTGGGCTCCTTGTCTCCAAAAGTGGCAATGCTTTGTTTGACATGCCTATGTCATGTCTAAGCGGCATTCAAGCGACTTGCCAAGCGCGAGAGTGTTCCTCCGGCGCTCGCAAGGTTCCGGCCGATACACAATCTCTGTACTGAAGGTGCCGAATTGAGGGCCATCGACAAACTGCTGGAGCTTCGTGCAGATCCCAACGGCGGGAAGGGCGGCGCTGCAAGTGTACCGCCGCTGGCCACGCTGTGCACGGCTGCTTGCCAAATGAACTGGCTGTGGTTGTCAAAACCAGGGTAACCCCAAAATGGCTTGCTTTCGTCCATGGAAACATGGACGAAAACCGGTCCCCAATTCCTGGCGACTAATTTTGTCCCACACCCAACTGCACCCACTAGAGCCAAGAATCCGGGAAATGGAGCCAGCCCCCCCCTTTTCCCCCCCCTTTTCCCCCCCTTTCCCCGCTTTTTGGGTTTCTTTGGGGCCAACCAAAATGGGCCCAAGATCTCCAGGCTGGTTGCGGGGCTCTGGAGTCCGCCCAGCGGCTCTTGGACCAGAAAGCAGATGTGAACCAAAGGTGCCAACCTGCGGGCAGGTTTCGGACCTTGGAGTTGAGCTGCAGGGCTGTTGGGCTCTGTAGAGGCGGGGTCCAAGTGTGGTCCTTACACGATCTTCATTTCTTTTGGGGTGGGGGGTTGCTTGGCTGGTGGGGTGGAAAAGACCGTGTGAGCAAGAGGCCCTGTAGGCGCGCCCGGGATTTTTGTGAACATCTTCAGCAACATCAGCACCACGCCGCTGGGAAGTTGTGCTATGACTGATCAAAAGGATCTTGCGACCTTCCTTCTCCTCGCACGTGCCGACCCGGAGATCCCGAACAATCGAGGCGGGTGTTTGGTCTTCCGAATCTGCTCCCAGCAATTCCTCAGGCCATGTCAGTAGCTCAAAAAAGTGCTACCAAAATCACACCTTGGTAAATGGACCCAAAGACTACTAAAACCTGTGTACTCCTGGCTCTTTCATTTTGAGCCGCACACATGTGCTCTTTTAAGACTCAAAAAAACAGACCTGAGTCGGGAGGGTGTTCTCGAGAGTTCTCCTTAGGCCAGCGCGCTGCAGATCTCGCGGTCTCGAGACAGATGCGAGAGCTGCTCCAGGAGCCGCTGTCCAGTTTGGAGGCGCGACTTGACCCCATACACCTGCCCGACGAGCTCGTGGCGGAGTACCTCTGAAGCAACTCATTGCAACAGGGCTCCTTAAAAGATGCATTTGCCCATTTGAAACATGGCTTTTTCTACCAAAATAAAGAGAAACCACCATTCACAAGGCAATGTTCAGGTGTATAATATAAGGATCCCTGTGCAAACTCATTAGCCTGCCTTGCGTTGGGTTAGATATTTCTTTATCTCCGCGTTTTTTGTGCAGCATGCTTGCAAAGAAGGGAAGGGTCTTTAACGATGGTGGCATCATCTCGCTGACCGCGAGGGCAGCCGATGTTTCACCAAAGGTTTCACCTTTCCGAGTCGATGCGACATGGGGCTCCCGCAGAAGTGGGAAGCATGGTCTTGCACCTTTCCTTTCTCCGGGAGAGGCAAAGATCAGCTCTTTTTTTTGAGACTCCAGCATAGTTAGTATCCTTCTGGTATTGTCTTCAGCATCAGCCCACAGCGAAGCCCACAAAAGACGCCGGCATTGGCTCCGGGAGCTCTTCCACGCCCATTTGGGCCAAGGTTGGGCATCAGGAAACTAGCAGCTTGGGCTGTTTGCTATTTGTCCTGTTAACTCCTTATTCGATCACGGGAAGATACCGGGGCACGACACATGACCAGTTGCTTGACGACTTCTTTTGGGTGGCGAGTCCGTGCTATTTGGGTGTTGAAAGCTGACGAGGCAAACCTTTGGCCAGGTCTTCCACGTCATCTCCAATCGGCTCCCGGAGTCTTTGAATGTCAGCGCCCGAGATCGAATCGCCAAAATATCACCCGTCGCCTGCAAGTCATTTGGATCTGTTTTTTGTTTTTGGGGGGGAACCTTGTTGGGCTTGGTTTAAAGGGCAACCAACAGGAAAACCGCAAGTTTTTCCATTTTGACACATACCCAAACCTCGCGGCCAAATGACCCAGGTCCTGCAGAAGTCCTCACTGGTTTGGGGGCCAAGGATGTCGACATTCAGCGAATGCTTCATGGTTTCAGAGTACCGATGAGGACCGCTGGATGCGCCATGTTCCGGCGAAGACACTGGGAAGATTCTGCAATGGTTGCGCAAGCGTGTGTAGTACTGTATATTAGCACGCACAAACACACACACACACACACACACACACACACACACACACACACACACACACACACACACACACACACACACACACACACACACACACACACACACACACACACACACACACACACACACACACACACACACACACACACACACACACACACACACACACACACACACACACACACACACACACACACACACACACACACACACACACACACACACACACACACACACACACACACACACACACACACACACACACACACACACACACACACACACACACACACACACACACACACACACACACACACACACACACACACACACACACACACACACACACACACACACACACACACACACACACACACACACACACACACACACACACACACACACACACACACACACACACACACACACACACACACACACACACACACACACACACACACACACACACACACACACACACACACACACACACACACACACACACACACACACACACACACACACACACACACACACACACACACACACACACACACACACACACACACACACACACACACACAAACACACGTACCTATTTATTGCAAACACTTTGCGTTGCCCGCCTCGGCCAGTCCGCTTTTGTCTGGCTTTGAGGTATACCACGGTGTTTTAGTTTGTCTTGAAGTGTTGAGTTTTGAGTGAGTGAGTCGGCGCCAAAATGCGTGAGCTGGTTTCCCAGGTAGAGGGGTGCATGTCCGCGTGTTTCCATCTGGCTTCAAGGGTCAGAACGACCGCAGAGAGCTGCAGCTTTTAGGGCCGGTTTCTAGGGGGACTGACCGGTTTTAGAGGAGCTTTGATAGGTTTTTAGGGGGAAGTTGACGGGAAATGGAACTTGGCCCGTTTCTACGGTTTTTAGGGGGGGGTTGTTTCTGGAGGGATTTGACCAGTCTGAACTGGAATGTGAGCGGTTTCTAGGGAGACTTGGCCGGAGTTGACCGGTATTTTAGAGGGGGTTTGACAGGTTTCTGACGGGTTTCTGCAGTTTTTGGGGAGGAGTTTCTGGAGGGACTTGAGCGGTTTGAAATGGAATTTGGCCGGTTTCCAGAAAGACTTGACCGGAGTTGTGGCATGTGTATGATATTTATGCAGGTGCGTACTCATCTATAGATCACATGCAGCAGTCCATGGGTCGGTGGCTTTTGACACCACCCACTCGGCCTCAGGTCCAATCCGCCTCCGCTGCACTGTTGCAGCGGCTCGGGCAGGGCCCTCCTGGCCACGTTTCGAGTGGTTGCGCTTTTGAGAACCATGTGGGTATGGATCAAAACTCGTCACCACCAGCCACCAGGATATGAAACGCAGGTTTGCCATTTACCATTTTGGGGTTACCGTATTTTTGACGCACAGAAAAAAATAATTTAGGTCACCTGAGACACACCCGTTTAAGTGGCTCGGTGGTTTCAAGTTCCGGATACAAGCCCCACAATCATGGACTTCACTGTTCTTGGCATGTTTTTTTTTTGGTTTTTTAGTTTATTGGCTCTGTTCATTTTTACTGGGGGTCTGCAAAAAAGGTTTTCGCTACCATACCAAGAGTAGAGATGTGGAAGGTGTGGTGAAGTTTGCAACCTGATACAAGCTGCTTTTCGCGACTGGAAGCCTTAGCGTCAAGACCAGGGTTCAAGTTTTGCGGACGCGCATGTCGGCCACGTGTCCGCTGTCAAAAAGCCATGGGAAATCAGCACACGAGGCGAAGAGAGTGAAATCCACTGATCTCCGAAGGTCACCGGCAACCCTTCCCAAACACCAAACTTAGGAGTGAAAATTGCGCCCCCCCCTGACAGCACGTTCGGCTCTGCGTCAAGTAAGTTTGTTGGCCATGTCCGTCTCCACTGCTTGGTTCCAAGGCAGGGTCTGGGTGGTGTCAGAGTGCTGTTCGGCGTTGGCTCCATTTTTACGTTTGAACTGAGAAGGGTTACTCTTTTTGAGACATGCTCCTCTTGTGTTGTGGCAGTGCAATACTTCTGGTGTTACTTTTGTGGGCTGTCTGTTTTTTTTGGAACTCTCTCCAAACTTTTTCCCCAGATAGCTGATTACCATAGGGGTTCTAACTTCTATCAAAAAGAAGAACATGATTTGCGAGATTGACGGCTGGGTGCTAGGGGCCGCCCAGTTTGGAGTGCTGGTGCACGTGCTGTTTGGGGTGCTGTTTGAGGTGCTGGTGACTACGGGCGCATTTTTGCAATATTCATGGCAGGGTGCTAGCTGTAAGGGTTCTAACTTCTACCAAAGAAGGGAAAGTGATTTGCAAGATTGTTGGCGGGGTGCTAGGGGGGGTGCGGTTGAGGGTTCTGGTGATGCGGGTGTCTGTGCGGGCGCTCTTTTGCAAGATTGATAATAGGGTGCTAGGGGGCATGCGGATGACGGGGCGGGCGCTGTTTTGCAAGATTTGACGGCAGGGTGCTAGGGGGCATTTTGGGGATTCTTGCGCAGGTGCTGTTTTTGGATGCTGTTTGGGGTGCTGTTTGTGGTGCTCCTCGGGGGGTGCTGCCAGAGGTGCAATCATTGGCCTGGGTTGTTCGCTATTTGGGGTCTATGCTGGCTGGTTTCCCTTGAAAACCAAAAGAGGGTTCTCCGAAAGGACAATGTGATGGTTTCCCTTGAAAACCAAAAGAGGGTTCTCCGCAAGGACAATTTGATGGTTTCCCTTGAAAACCAAAAGAGGGTTCTCCGAAAGGACAATGTGATGGTTTCCCTTGAAAACCAAAAGAGGGTTCTCCGAAAGGACAATGTGATGGTTTCCCTTGAAAACCAAAAGAGGGTTCTCCGAAAGGACAATGTGATGGTTTCCCTTGAAAACCAAAAGAGGGTTCTCCGACAAATGGGACCAATGTGATGGTTTCCCTTGAAAACCAAAGACCGAAAGGACAATGTGATGGTTTCAATTGAAAACCAAAAGGGGGTTCTCCGAAAGGACAATGTGATGGTTTCCCTTGAAAACCAAAAGAGGGTTCTCCGAAAGGACAATGTGATGGTTTCCCTTGAAAACCAAAAGAGGGTTCTCCGAAAGGACAATGTGATGGTTTCCCTTGAAGACCAAAAGAGGGTTCTCCGAAAGGACAATGTGATGGTTTCCCTTGAAAACCAAAAGAGGGTTCTCCGAAAGGACAATGTGATGGTTTCCCTTGAAAACCAAAAGAGGGATCTCCGAAAGGACAATGTGATGGTTTCCCTTGAAAACCAAAAGAGGGTTCTCCGAAAGGACAATGTGATGTTTTCCCTTGAAAACCAAAAGAGGGTTCTCCGAAAGGACAATGTGATGGTTTCCCTTGAAAACCAAAAGAGGGTTCTCCGAAAGGACAATGTGATGGTTTCCCTTAAAAACCAAAAGAGGGTTCTCCGAAAGGACAATGTGATGGTTTCCCTTGAAAACCAAAAGAGGGATCTCCGAAAGGACAATGTGATGGTTTCCCTTGAAAACCAAAAGAGGGTTCTCCGAAAGGACAATGTGATGGTTTCATTTGAAAACCAAAAGAGGGTTCTCCGAAAGGACAATGTGATGGTTTCCCTTGAAACCCAAAAGAGGGTTCTCCGAAAGGACAATGTGATGGTTTCCCTTGAAAACCAAAAGAGGGTTCTCCGAAAGGACAATGTGATGGTTTCCCTTGAAAACCAAAAGAGGGTTCTCCGAAAGGACAATGTGATGGTTTCCCTTGAAAACCAACCAAAAGGGACCACCCCTTTAGTGTTCCCGTTCGAAGTGGCTGCTGTTGATCTGCCGATTGCACTGAGATCTCCCTCTCAAGCCCAAGGGGCATCCACTCCAGACAGCATTGTGATCAGCTTGCTGGCTGGAGTGGGCGCCCCTTTTTTGGGTCGTAAAGGGCAGCCAAAGGGAAGCCCGAGATGCATCTTTTGGGGCTCCCCGAAAAAGCGGACACACCCTGCGTTTGTCAATCGCCGTGCGATTTGCGGGGCGATTCGTTTCATTGAGACCCTCTGGAGCCTGCAGAGCCCGTTGAGAAGGTTTGGCAGCAATCCAAGATGCGGACTTCCAAAGGCAGCACAGATTGTGGCTCCCCCTCCGCGTGTTGGACAAGCTGTCATTTGACTGTTTGTGCATCATAGTTGATGTTTCCGCACGAAGACAGCTTTACACTACTTCAGATTTGGGAAGTGCCTGCTTGAACATGCTGAAGAAGCTATGCAGAGTCACCCTTAGCTGATATTAATGTTGCTGATGCTGGTGCACACCCAAGCTAACCTCAATTAGTGGTTCATGTTGAAACGGAATTAGCAGAGAAGAAGCCAATCCGGGTGCGCTGCTCCTAAAACCCTACCCGACTCTCGACCCCGGCATGATTCCCCAACGTTAATGCCAACAAATGGTTTCAACCATGGTTTCATTTCGTGGCGCGAATGGTTTCCACAGTAGACTCGAGCAAACAATTTCAGCCGAACCCACTCGTAGAGCCAAACGCGCCCACCTCCTGCCAATCCTGCCCAAGAGAATCGTCAGGGATGCGTCCCTGAAAGCGCGTCAGGAAGCCGGAGGCCGCAAGTAGTTCGCCACTGCTTCGCCGCTTCGATTACACAGCTCGCGTCGCCGCATCCCTTTTTCTTCCCCTGGAAAACGAAAGGGTGAGCTGCCGAACAGCTCTGTATCGCACGCAGAGAACGTCTAACGTGACATGTGAAGCCCAACATAGCAGCATAGATACAGATCAGGTCCACGTGTTGACGTCGTGACCTTTTGGTTTTCAGCCTCAGTCATGTCAGCTTCCCACTCATTGGTGGTTTGAATTGGTTTGGTTAAGGAGGGGCGGAAGCCATTTACCCTCTACAAGAAAACGCTGTAAAATACAACATTTTACTGGTCCGGACGAAAAACAAAAAAAACAATACAAAAACAACCGAACAAAAATCCCAAAATAAATCCGCACCCAAATGCTGTTCATGGTTTTTCGTTCTTGCCATGTTGCCCTTGGAGGCTGTGCAGCCAATTCAGCCACGCGCGATGTTGAACTCAGCTTGCTGCCGCTGATTGAGGATCAGGCGCCGATTGGTCCAGCTCCAGTGCTCCACGTCTTGCTTTGTGGGTTATTTGAATATTATTTTGCATCAGGAGCATGCTTTTCCTCGTGAGTTGTGAAATGCCACGAGTCAAAATACGGCATGCCGTCATGTTGCTTGATGCTGAGTGACATGTTGACGCATATCAACGTTGCCATGCTCGTTGCACTGCCTGTTCTCTCTCACTGGAGGCAAAGCTGAGTCGGACTCGCTTTGGCAGCGATAGCACAAGGCCATTCGGGAGGGATGAGCAACTTCCCAGGGTGACATGTAGGGGGAGGCGACTGGTGTCACCCTGCAGCTCTCGTTGCTTTTGCTTGAAAGGGCAATGAAGGATGTTGGGGCGTCAATGCTTGGATGAAATCTGCCAGGGGCAAACATTGAGGCTGGTTCGAAAAGCCTCGGCAGTGTGAGACTCCAACATTGGAACAACTTCTTTGCTTCGCCTCATGCCTCCAGAGACGCACGCGCACCCGCACGCGCACGCGCACAGGCAGGCAAAATCGATTTGGCGCCATGGGGGGCAGCACGGTCCTCCCATGGACATTGGAGCTCCTCACATGGATATGGCTTGGTGGCCCAACCAGCCATCTTCGCCCTTAGGTTTTTTGATCTTTTGGCATGGTGAAAGTCGGTTTTGGGTTTAGAATTGACCCACCCAAAAGTTGAGCACTTTTAGCACGGGATCTGAAAATGGACAGCCCAGATGGATTGTAGCTTTGTTCTGTTGGGTATCCTTATCGGTGTCAAAGCGCATGGGGTTGCGAGTTCTTGTCTTGGTCAGGGCCTCAATCAGTGATGAACAGCAGCTACTTGGCATCGGTCAAGGACATGCGGCGGGGGGAAGGAGTCGATGTGTTCTGGTGATCGTGTTGAGTGCAACCAGCACTGGCATAGGTGTCCTTTTTGGTTGTTTTGCTAGAAAAATAGATGGTAATTTCTGGTTTACCTGGTGGTTTAATCATCTACCAGGGCCATCTATTTCCCCTAAAAGGATACCTATGAGCACTAGGGTTACATCATCCTTGGATAGAAACATCATCTTCTCAAACGCAACAGACACAGCCGGTATGAAATTGGCTATGAGGCCATGACGTATTGTAGTCACTTGCAGTGCCAAGCGGATCGTGAGCATTGTTTCTCATAGACCGTGGGTCTCAGCGTTTTTCTTTTTGTAAATTTTCTTCAGCTGAGGTGCCAAGAATCCATCAGGAAAGGCCGCTGCATTAGGCAGGAAGCTTCCGCGGGACAGCTCCGTGCTCCGTTCGGACGGCAGGGGGGGGGGGGGGCTGGTTTGATGTTTTTGTTGAAAAAGGGGGAGTGGTGATGGATAGACATTGCCAGGTAAATGATGTCCAAAAGGCCAAGCAAAATTTAGCAGTTGGACTCTTGCTGAACATCGCTCGACTTGAGAGTGCCCGTTTGTTGAAGACGGAGACGCCTGCGTTGGCTTCCTGTTGGTTCCTGGATGCCACATTTTCGCTCAGTACCATGAATGCGTTACACAAAGTTATACTCCCTGAGACTAACAGGGAAGCTCCCAGAAGGCCTTGGTAAATGGAACCAAGTCTTCGACAGGGGTCCCTTTGGAACTTCCATGTTAGTCTGGGGGAGTGTACATCCTAGCCCGGGACTAAGTTGCAACGGTGCGTCCAGAAGCAAACCGCGACCACGCGACAGCCCAGACGTGTCGAGAGGCCTGGTGGGCTCGCCTACGACTTCGACGAGTCCTCCGGGCTGCTTGGGCTGCGAGACTTGACCATGTCCCTCCCCGATTTCATGGTGTCACATGTCTGGTGCCGACTCGTTCTGGTTTTAAGGGAGTGATCAACTACCGCGGACATGTGTCGCATTGAAATGGCGGCCATTAAAGAACGCATAACGCAACAAGCACGGCTCCAGCAATTGCCCAGGAACTGGACGCACCCAGCAAACTGTACTGTAGTGCTTTGGTGGCTCTGTCAGAGGATGCAAAGTATACGGATGGTGAGTGATGTGAAAGGTTGATGTTACGGAAGCTTGTCTTGCTGGTGCTCAATAGGGAAGGTGGGAATGAACGCAGGGGTACTCTTAAAGGACACCACCAGTTGGATGGTTTATTAGGGTTATTTATTCCATTTCTCATTCCTGCCTGTCGCACCAGCAAGTTGTGAAGAACCAGTGCAGGACCCCTCTGGTCCGTGCTCCTGAATCCCCTCTTGCCCTGGTTCATGTTTATGTTGGGGCTGATCAACAGGTGCGTGATACATGGGATGACCATTGGTTCTATAACCACGAAGAAGGGATGATATTTCAACAACATGGGAGAAGAAGTTACCCATGGTGATATGGGGGCCAGGAATTTTGAGCAACCCCCGATATTCATACACACACACACATATATATATATATATATATACACACAGGGCTCCACTTTTTGACTACCCCAAGATACACTTAAACCCAGGCGTTTCTCTTTGGTGGGAATGAGCCACCCCTGGGTTTAAGTCCACCCTGAGATAGTCAAAAAGTAGAACCCTGTATATACATATTATTTCTCAGACTGCAGGCTCGGCTCGTTTCCGGTGTTGGGTGCAATTTTGCGAGCGCGCCGGGACAGCGCTGAGGTGCTGGCTACAATGATTCCATTTGCTGGTCATGCGGAAGTGCTCCGAAGGGCTCGTCGATATTTTTTGGGATCCCAAAATCGGTTCGGGTTTTCGATTTGTTCCTTTTGGTTTCCCTTCAAAGCCACCAAAGAAGGGGTGCCCTCCAAACCCATCATATAGAGATGCACGGCGGCTGGTCCTTTTTGGAGCTGTTCGAGTGTATGAACGTGAAGACGGAGCAACCATGGCCAGACGGAGAACACATCTGTCTTCCAGCATGGCCATTGCCTGCGAATTTTAAGAGTCGTGTAAATCGCTGGGCAGAAGTTTTTCTTATGGTGTCAGGCTGTCACTGACAGCCTGACGCGTGCGATGGCAGTTCGTTGAGACACTGGGGGTGGTGGGCTGATTGTCTTGGTGGCTTAAGCCTGGGCAACTCGACGATTTTGACAGGACATGGCGTGTTTCTGCCAAATTCCTGAGAATTTGCAAATTCTTGGCGGTTGGCAACTGTGCAAAGCCCAGCTTTTGTCACCAGACTGCCGGCTGTAGGCATGATCGGCCGTTTGTTGCCAGACATGCTAAGGGCATCGGATCTTGAAAGGCTCATGACCTGCACAGGGGCCAAGCGCGGCAAAACGCGCACGGCCGGTCTTTAAGAGGTCCCAGCCTTCCCATTTTTGGGCCTAAGCGGAAGTGTCCAGTCACTCGGCTTTCTGCTGGCGCTGACCTTCCAATGGGATTCGCCGGTGAAGATCTGGCAAGGGACTTCCGACTTCCCCTGGAGCGCTTTCAGGCTTGGGGATCAGGGGTCACGAAGGACCGTGACCTTTTGGGCGAGATGCCTCGCCAGAAAGGAGCGCAAGTTGAGGAGTCAGGCAGCCGTCGATTCAGACTTCAACTTGAAACAGGTTCCTCAAGAGGGGTTTTCTTGTTTTTTTCCCTGTTTTTTTCCCCCTTTTTTTTCCGGGAGCCCTCAGTTGGTTGGTTTCGGTGGGAGGTAAAAAGGCCTGGGGCCATTTTGGGGGTCCCAGGAAAAAACAATTGGAGGACGCGCCTTCAAATCAGAGGCATCGAAGCCTCTTCTCTTGCAACTTCCCGCTATCTCCGGCTCGCGGGGCTTCTCGTTTGGTTTTTCAGGGCTCCACTCTCAAAGCAACAACTCTTGTGGAGGTGTTAACCCATGCGATGCAGGGAACTTTTTTTTTTATTATATATATATATATAAATTTATTATTATTCTTCTTCTTATTATTATTAAAAAGGCAACCCGAGGGGTGGCATTTATTGGAAAGGTACCTATGGCCAATGTCTGTTTGGGGGAGCCTGGGAGGTTGATATAAAAGGTCGAGGGGCTTCTTTAAGCGTTAGGGCACGAGGGCAGGTCGCATTACTGGATATGTCTTTTTTTTTCACCCAAAATTTCCTGCGGCAAGCCAAGGATCAAGCTGCGAACTTCCTCACCACTTTTAAACATGCCGACTTCCTTGCGTCACAGCTCACCCTCGTAAAGCGCCCCAGGCGAAATGTCTCGCCAGGTTCTTCCTTCCAGCGCCTCCTCGGATACCTTCCGGAGGCAGGGCCGCCTTCCTTTTCCGCTTGCGCGCGGATAGCGCCCACGCAAGCAACGAGGCAAAGTTCGCCCATTGCAGGGCCAGGTTGCTCGAGTGTTTCTTTTTGCTTGAAATGTTGGCGGATTCATGATCATAACAATGACACAGGACAGATTCTATGTAGGCGATGGAATCGATTTGGTGATAGCGCACGGAACATGTTTCATCGCTTCAGGCCCCAGCTTGTGTTTCTGAAGAGGTGTCAGCAAACCAGAACAAGCCAAAGGGCCTGCACATGGTTCCATTTGGGTGTCTTTGTTTAGGGGACCTCCAAAATGGTGGTAATCCCTTTTAAGACCAAAAGGGGGTTCGCCCACAAAGACAGACCCGTCTTCGTTTTTGCCAGAACTCAGTCTCGGGATGTTCACTTTGGCTGTCAGGTCGATAGCCTTCAGCAGATGGAGGAGGAAGAGATCGAAGAGAGCAGGGCGCTAAGGATGTTCAGATCTCCCTCTAGAAGTTCTGGCTATGGCCTACTCCAGGAATTGGACCGCAGGTTTTGGTTTCCCTTTTTTCCACTTACCGATCGGGCAAGCTCAAGCCATTTTGGGGTTACCAACTATTTTTGACCACAGCCATACAATGCGCAGTGGTTTCCAAGCTTCGGTTCAGATTCTTGCCAGCCCAGGTGACCTGAGCTGGTGGATTTCCAGGCAGGAGCAACAGCCATCAAGTTCGATATGGCCATGGGCCAATCCAACCACTATAGGAAGCCTAAAATGGGCGGTGAATTCACCGATCCCAACCAACATGGGATCCCGTTTCACGGTTTTGTCGACCGCCACATTCTTCGAACGCTCCGGGAACTAGGCTCTAGATCGAGTCCGCGCCTCTGGCAGTCACTTGGTGGTTGGCAGAATGGCGATCCCATTTTGGAGGGGTACCTATGGGTTTTGACTTGCCACTTGGGTGGGAAGGAAAGCTGCCTTTTGTTTCATGCGCACGTTGGCAGAAACAGACTGGCTTGACGCTGTTCCAGACCAATTCCTGTTTCGGCATGTTTCCCATGCCAGGCAGTGACGGGTGCCAAGTGAATACGAACGGAGCGGCGCTCAGAAGGAGGGAGTGAGAGCCAGAGTGAAGTCATTGTTGCATTGGTTTGCTACGTTTTTTGGATTTGCGCCCCTTGCTTTTAGGGTCTGCTGGGATGCATTCTCGTTCTTTGGAAGGAAACCTGAAGGGCATCGGGCCAACTAGGGTGCAGTCCAAGACTCCTTGTCCTGTCAGGAAGCATTTTTTTGCCAATGTGAGCTGCTTTGCCGTGCATTTGTTCGCTGTGGTCTTGCTTACAGAAGAGTACTCAATCAATTTTACTTCCCAGGCAGCTATGCCTTGATGAGAAGGTGCTAAAGCGAGCATCTCGCTTCTCGTGGAACTTCATAAGTTTGCAATTCGCAATCTTGAAGAGGTTTTGCATAACATAGTGGTTTTGCCTGTCCTCTGTTAGCGCTTCCGAGCTTTTTCGTGACGCTCGCGCATCACATCGCATTCCCTTCGAATAGGATCAAATCCCCACAGGCCCAATCCTTCCCTGCGGAATGATTACGGAAGAAACACTTCAACCTGGCCAGCCACGTGTCAAGCTGTCGTTTGATCCTTGTCAAACCAGACCTGTAAGCCAGACTGCTCAATCCTTACCGCATGAATCAGAACCCTCCCTTCCACTAACATGGCACCTGACAGGGGGCCGCAAATTAATCTTCCAGGTACCCTCCGACAAGAGCCGTGTTAGTGGAAGGGAGGGTAGTCATCCCACTAGAAGACCGGGTGTTTCTTCTTGGGCAACGCATTCGGCCCAGGTGCGCCGCAAGAGTCGAGTGCGCGATAGAACAAGCAGCGCGGCAAGGGGAGAGAGGTGCCCGGCGAGAGAAATTCTTTTTCGGCAACCGTTGGTCGGTCGGCGAGGATCGGATGTACTATCTTGCACCAGTTTTGGCACACACACACACACAGCACTTCTGTTTTTTTGCTTTTCTTTTTTTCCCCCCCTCTTCGGTGGAGTAATTCAAAGGACTCATTCCATCTTCGCATGCACCCTCCGCCAGCCGCCCTGCAATGCTCTGTACAGGCTCGTTTCACGGAAGGTCACTGCATCGGGGCCGGGACGCGTATTTGATTTGCGCCAAGGCAATGGGACATCTTCTAAATATTTTCTTGAGGCTGTGGTGGTCAAAAATAGTTGGTAACCCCAAAATGGAATGAGCCCTGGTAAATGGAAACAAGGACTAAAACCTGTGGTCCAATTCCTGGTGGTTTCATTTTGACCCATACCCAGGTGTTGCTCATGTTCTTTTGGAATTCCCATTTACATTGCATCATAATTGCAAGACATTGAGAGAACTTCAAGTCTTCGTATGAGAGAGCCCTTTCTTTTGCAGCTGGTGTCCTTGAGCCCGTTTGCGCGTCATCGCCGCCCATGCATCCGGGACGGCCAAGCCTAGGCCATTTCGCCTGCATCCTCAGTGCAACGGGTGCCCAGATCCTATTGCCTCTGTGCTCTTTTCGGCAATGTGAAGAGGCATGGGCCCACATTGTCAAGGGGCGCACAGCGCGCCTTTCTGAAGGGGCGAAGGGTATGCTCTTCATCCGATTCTGATGCTAGAAATTCAATTCCGTTTTGAAAAGACGGGCAGATTCGCATCAGTTTGCTCATGAGTCACAAGAACGGGGTAATGTTGACCCCAGATTAACAACCCCGTATTGATTCATATTGGGGTGTCCCTGGTTGTAGTGGGGATGTTTCTTGGTTCGCCGCGCTACTTTCGATGGGGCAAAGCTTCACTCGAGGCAGGTGCCGCAGAATCACTCCATGGTTGGCAGAATCGGATGCAGCTCCCAGCTTGAGCATTGAGATGCCTCGGGGCGTTCCGGCGATGCAGATGCAGTGCCAGGGTAGAATCTGTGTCAACGTTTGGGATCATCTTACATCTTTGCCCTTGACTAAATGATGAGCAAAGAAAATATATAAATCCTAGGTTTGGGTTTGAACATTGACCAAGGAATGGCTGTGCGCTCTTCACCGGAGTCGGGTGACAGTTTTCTGTTGACGAAGTATTACTTCGCTGTTCTTGATCATTTTTGGTTTTGGTTCTGTTCTTTCTAGGGGCTGCAAAAAACAGTTTTTTGCTACCATACTAAGGGTTGATGAAGTATGATGTTTGTTCTGAATGCCGCGCTTGCCAAAGAGTTCTTCTCCAACCAACAAAATGCACTGCATTGTATACGTATACCCATACCAGTAGATCCGGCGAAGCGCGTGGGCGGAAGTTTCAAACGAAGAAGAATTATAGTTTGGAGTGCGCTTCTTTCCCCCTTCTCGTCTTCTTTCTCTTTCTTTCCCTCTTTCTCTTTCCCTTTCTCTGTCTCTTCTTGCTCTTTTCTTTTCTTTTTCTCTTTCTCTTTCCCTTTCTCTCTATCGTTATCTTTCTCGTTATCTTTTTCTAATTCTCTTTCAGTCTCTCTCTCTCTCTCGCTCTCTCTCTCTCGCTCTCTCTCTCCCTCTCGTTTTCTCTTTCTCTTTTTCTGTTTCTTTCTCTTTCTCTTTTTCTTTCTTTTTATTTTTCTTTTTCTTTTTCTTTTTCTTTTTCTTTTTCTTTTTCTTTTTCTTTTTCTTTTTCTTTTTCTTTTTCTTTTTGTTTTTCTCTTTCTCTTTCTCTTTCTCTTTCTCTTTCTCTTTGTCTTTGTCTTTCTCTTTCTCTCTTTCTTTATCTTTATCTTGCCCTTTATCTTTCCCTTTCTCTTTCGCACTTGACAGTTTCGATTTTCGAGCTTGAGCTGGAGAAGTATTCTTTGCGTACTACAAGTTGTGATTTTCCCGCTGCACTTGCACTTTGCGCATTGCTTCAAAGTCGCAATTCGAAACCCGTTCTGATGTTGCGACACATGGGATGGGTATCCTTTCCAAGCAGCTTTGCAAAGCAGTGCACGCCCGTTTTTGAGAAGTGAACCTTAGTTCTGCACACCGGCCTGCTTCAGCTGGGCCGGCTGCTGCATGCTTTGCGCGTCTACCCTGCCTTTGCCAAGTTGATTTGCCCCCCAGCTCGCCTGCCTGCAGCTGCCTGCCAGATGCTTTGCACACCTCTCTGTGCTGCTGCTGCTGCTGCTGCTGCTGCTGCTAGAATTTCTCCCATCTTGGTCGGCTGCCACATGCTTTGCTCGTCTCTCGCACTGGCCGAGTTCAATTGCCGGCCGGTCACACAACGCAATTGCGCCCACCAGATGCGAAGACGCAAGAACAGTATAGCTTCACTGTTGTTGGCATGCTTTCAATTTGTATTAATTATTTTGTTTTTCGTTATTATGTTCATTCAGCAGGGGGGCTGAACAAAGTGTTTTGCTACCTTGCAGCGGGTTGGAAAGACAAAATCTAGCTGGCAGTCCATGAGTAATCGTGGCACTGCATTCGGCTGAGAGGCTAAACATTCCGACCTGAAACCTCCCCAGGCTGTGAAGGAGCTTGTCCAACTGTCCTGAAGTCTGCAATTCAGGCAAAAAGATCATGAGCTAAGGTCACCTTTTCTGAAATTGTTTGGGACGCAAAGACTTCACAGGAGCGTGACAAGAGCTGCAGCTTGGGAAGGCATGAAGAGGTGCTTTTGGCAAGTCGCGAGCCTTGGCACAAGTGCCGAGAGGGTCTGGTTCCATGCGGTGAGAAAGCTGGTCAGAAAGAGTTTTGGTTCTCTTAGACATCAGGCAGATTCAACCGCAGTTCACGCGGGTCAAGCAGATCCAAGCCACCAGCAGTGCTTTTGCTGCAGCCAATGGCCTCCTCCGTGTTGGAGTTCCGCGCCATGGATCTCCGCGGTTTGGCAGGCGCGCCAGTTTGAAGAGCAACTTCTTCATACCTGATTGTTTCAAATTCCCAGCAGGGCCTATGGAGGCGAGCGTCAGCTCGGTTCAGGGCAGCACAGGGAAACCCCCTGGGTTTAAGTCCACCCCAGGGTAGTCCAAAAACCGGAAGACTGGCACCACAACCACAAGACTTTGTCATTGTAAGCCTTTTCGACGCTTGTAACATTTTCTCCGGTCTCTTACAAACACTTGTCGTTGGGATGGCCGATGCTGGTTTTCCAGTTCCACAGAACTTCCGCACGGATTCGTCCTGTGGTGCACCCTGTGCCGAGCTGTGCAGCTTCCTTGGCCAAAACGCGTCTCGCATAAGCCCGAGTTAAGGGTGAAGGCTGATTTCGGCCCTTCGATTTGGTTAGGCCCGACAGAGGCCAAAGGCTTCGCCGCTGAAGCTTCGCCGAAGTGTGTGCATGTGTGTAAGTGTGTGGGTGTGGGTGTTGTGATGTTTTGTTCAACGTCCAAACAGACAAAGCCTGCACTCGCAAGAGCAGAGGAGTTGAGTTTCGGAGTTGGCACCCCATTGGTCGGCGAACCAGGGGCTTTCCTACGTGGTGCCCATTCTCTTGGCCAAACCATTTTTGGCTCGGAGGCAAGTCTGCAAGAGGTTTCATCAAGGCAGGCCCTCCAGAGGGGGCGCCTTTTCCGTTTCCTGGGCCGGCTATAGGCCGAGTCGTTCGAAAGATAGCAAGGCGGTTGGTGAACCGAGCAAGTTGCGCTGCAAGCATTGAAATGCATGCGAGCGTGAGGCCGTGGAAAAGGTGAAAAGGTCCGAAGGGGAGCTTTGGCCGACATATTTTTTTCAGTTTTGGCTCATGCTTTGGGCTTGAGGTCAAACTCTGATTCCATCCTGGTTTCGATTGACTTTGCGAGCACCCGCGAGAAGGGGAGGAGATGGATCTCTCCCTACCTGCTACTGCCATGGGCCCATGAGGGCCCATGAGACGTCTGGATGGGCTTGGGAAGTGGCGAGCAACCAAGGATCCTTCTACTTGGGAAGATGTTTTCGCAAAGCCGAAGACATGCAGCATGTCCAAATGTGTCCTTCTACCTTCTACTTCTATTATGAATGCGTTTGGATTCAGATGACTCATTGACGGATGACAGATGACAAGGCATAGCGTTTTTTTTTTTTTTCCCCCCGTAAGGAAGCGATGTGCGCAAGAAACGAGTAGACCGTCCCTGCGTGGACTTCGTCCAGCCGTTGTGGCTTTCAGGCGCAGTTCGAGGCCGGCCAACTTTAGGGAATCTCATGACGTAGAGCCCGGCGCTTTTTGGGTGCTGAGCTCAGTCCTCCAAACTGAACAGAGCTGGGTGTGGCTCAACATTAAACGATCGGAGGCGCCCATATTTTTTGGCCCATGTTTCCACTTACCAGGGTTGATTTTGGTCCCGTTTTTTTTTTGAGCCACAGCCAACTCAGGCGTTTTTTTTTTTCTTTTTTTTTTTTTCCGGAATGACACAGTGAGACCAATGAGACGACAGCTTCTTGAGCACAAGTGTTCTGCTTGAGCTCAGGCGTGTCACATCATGGAGGTGCCTGGGACCTGTTGCAGATTCCAGCTCGGGACTGTAGATGGCTGTGGTTGTCAAAACCGTTATGGGATCCCATTTTGGTTGGTAGGTGAATTCACCACCCATTTTAGAGCCTATTTTAGTGGTTGAATTGGGATGTTCACTGGGGGTACGGGATGTTGACCCATCGACGGGGGTACGAGGTCCGGGGATCCGAGGGCGCCTTGGTCCCAGGGAAGCCTTGCTCCTTCCCAAAGGTGACTTGTTCTCCACCATATGGGTGGCTCGTCGTGTTCTTTGGGTCCCCAAAATGAGGGATTTCCATTTAAAAGTAGAAAGCAATGCCTACATTATTTTTGCGAGTACTAGCAGGTGTCAAACATGAAGCAGGCACCAGCAAGTTACCTTCTGTTAGACAATGTTTGCAAGAAGTCGAGGAACGCCAAGTGTGATCATGTGCGTCCAAGCCCAAAGCAAAGTTACCAGGCAGCCGTCAGAGACACCCAAAAATTGCCCGAGCCGGTTCAGTCAGAAGCCTGGTTTTCGTCAAGAAAGGTGCGCAGATGCACATGGCAGGCTGTACTGTTTCTGACAAAAACATGCCATGGTGCACTCCACTGCAAGCGACCGCTGAAAGGGCAGTGCGCTCCATTTTTCGCAAGACTTGAGCGCTTGAGAAGCTGCAGTAAGAGTCAATCCCATTCCAAGCAGTCGCCGAATAAAAACCGAAAGCGCAAAACTGCCCAACATGCCAAAAACGAAACACGTAGTAAGGCAGGAACGAGCTGTCTTCCTCCATGAGCCACGGCTGAAAACGATGGGAGAAGGCCAACAGCCAAAGCTGCGGACTTGCGATCTCTCGGGGCAGAGTGAAGGTGTGGTTGTCAGTGGCCAGTGGCCTTTCCCGTGATTTCACTCGGAAAGATGGGGGCGTGTCGTTTTTCGGAGTTGGTGCCCGCTTTTTGGCCCCGCTTTTTGGGGCTCAGGATCCTAAAGCAGGAGGAGGTCGCTGGGTTCGCTGGTTTGAAGGGAGTTGGCATGCAGCAGACAACAAGAGTAATGGACAACAACCACAAATCCTGTTGCGCGTCTTGATATCACATCCCGGGCTCACGCGAGCGAGCGCATTGGCCAAACGCTTTTCCCTGAGGAACTGGAGGAGACGCTGGATGTGGATGTCGCAGCCCTGCCGCAAAAGGCCAAAGCCTCATGGACTCGTTGTGCGAACGAAGCTTCCAGGATTTCCAGCAAGGAGCATGTTTGGTGCAATGCCGGAGTCGCTCGCAGCATTGCTTGAGAGTCGTTGACGTTGACCAGGATGGCTTGGCCATGATTGGCGTGTCATGGGCTTCTTGGTGGCCCCCCCCGCCATCCTGATGGGTGTTTTGGCTTTTTGGGGTTTGGCGGGGGCCCGGCCGCCATGTAACATCTCAGCGGATCGGTTTGGACAGCCCAGGCTTCTGGGGTTTAGCATGAGCCATTGTGCCTATGAGACATTCGAATGCTGCGGGAAGCTGATCCGAGGCCACAAAAGTGCCCCAGGATCCCGGCGAGTGGCGACCTCAGATGTGTCCGGCCGAACGGGAGGAGCCAAAAGCCGAGTGGATGCAGACCTCCGACACCTTGGAATCTGGCGAGATGTTTTTCTGGCAGCTCATGGTTTCAACCGTGCCTTGGTGTAGGACGCCCATCTTCCGGCTTCTTCGCCTCGGCCTGCTTCAAAAGGCTGAGGCGTGAGCGGCGAAAGTTCTTCCTGGGTTTTCCCACGTCCATAGAGCCCCACACAAGCTCTGCAGCCGATTTTGGCGGAATGTGGGTATGGCTCAAAATTCAATCGGAGGGGCAAACCGCAGGTCTTGGTACCCATGTTTCCACTGACCGATCGGGCAACCCATTTTGGAATTCCGGTTTTTTGAGCCGTACCCATGTAGACATCTCGAAAATTCCGAGCGAGCGAGTCTTCGCTTTCCAAGAGCCGACGGACTTGAGGCGAGACAAAGCTTGGCTTTCTGGGCGACAAAAGCCTTGGGGGGTTCTGGATCTCCAGCTGCTTTTGATTTGGGCGTGGTCAAAAACTCGTTGGTAACCACAAAATGGAAGCCCTGGTGAATGGAGCCAAAGACTTCTTTTCCCCTTTGTCCGATTCCTGGTGCTTTGATGTTGACCCATACCCAAAATGGCTGCGGTGGTCAAAAATAGGGCAACCCCCAAATGGCTTGCCCCGGAGTTGTGGAAGCATGGACCAACACCTGCTTTTGTTTTCCGGCGGTTTTCGGGTTTTGCTCCTTTTGATTTCCGCCCAAAAGGCGTTTGCTTTTTTTTTTCTCTTTCTCGGAAGCTGACAGGTGGCACTGCGGAAGCTGGGCCAGATGCCCACTGGCCTGGCCGTGAATGCCGGGCTCCCAGTGAGCATGGGAGTGGATGGGCTCTGGCGGACCCTGTAAGATGGCTCCGGTTTTCCTGCGGCTTCCCTTTAAACCGGACCAAAAAACAGGAGGAAACCGAAACATCCAAATAGAGAGAGGGTGAAGGTCGGGATCGGGGCCAGCCGTCAGCCGTCAGCCGCTCCTCAAGGAGCGATTTTGCTTGAGCTTCGCTGTGCTCCCCGTGCGCAGTCGGAACGGGCCTATCCATGAATCGCCTTATATGGCCATGGTTCAAAACCAATGGTACCATTTTGGGATAGGTGCACCACCCATTTTAGAACCTATTTGAGTGGGGATTGGGATGTTCACTGGGGGTTATGATTTGGGTTTTCACCGATGGCCATATTGGTTCGGCTCGCCCACATATTCTGAGGGCAACGGACAAGCTCACGATTTCTGTGGCTTGAGCTGGCATCGCTTGACTTGCTGCCAGGTTCTGGGGGCTAGTGAGCATTTGGCACAAGCCTCCACAAGGTACTGTCCGAGACACCTGTCACTTCCAGTGAAACAGACCCGATGTTCCATGGGTTTGCCTTCAGGCTGAAGTGTACCAACCAGGATTTTCCGGTGGCCACTTTGATTTGGTGAACATACCGCTACGCTCCCCCAGGCTAACATGGAAGCTCCCAGAACCCCTTTGGGATGGTTCCATTTACAGTGGCCAACTGGGGGAGCTTCCGCGTCAATCCGAGGGAGTGTAGGCTTTTCTCTTCGGCAAGCCTCGCCGTCCGGTTCAGAGGCATCATCTTTTATTTCTCCAAGGCATGGTCCTTTGCCTTTTTTGTTTCTGCATTCCCAGAATAATGTGGCCCAATCATGTAGTCCATCGTAAAAAGCAAAAAACAAAAACGGAGCATGGGGGGGGGGGGAAAACAAAAAACAAAAACATCGAGAACCCGAGGCCCGCGAGGAGAAGTTCGAGTGGGGGCGGCGGCCTTGGGCCATGGGTTGGAGAGAGCCAGCTCGATGGTTGGTAAGGGACACATCTCCAAAAACAAGGGCCGTGGTTGCCAAAACCAATGGTGCCGCTGCTGGGCGTGCCGGGCACCCATTTGCAGCGTTGTCAAACGGCCCGCGTCGCCCACGAGCTCCTGCCTTCAAACTGCCGCGAAGCAGTTCGTTGACAGTCACTCACAGTTAGTTATTCACGTAGCGTTGGTTGGTCAGTGCGAATGATCCTTCCCCAGGTTCACCTACGGAAACCTTGTTACGACTTCTCCTTCCTCTAAGTGATAAGGTTCATGAAGCTTTCCAACGCAACGTCCAGAAGCTGAGCACTGCGTCAGTCCGAATTATTCACCGGATCGCTCAATCGGTACCGTGCGCCAACAGGTGGCTGTGGAAACCGTTTTGGGATACCATCTTAGTTGGTAGGTGAATTCACCACCCATTTTAGGGTTCCTATTTGTGTGGTTGGATTCATGGCCAAATGCCGGAGAGGCTGCCAGGAGTTCTGGTGAGGGACATGGTGGTCTCACTTATCAATTTCTTCGCACTCGCCTTTTTTGCTTCTTCTTTTTTTCGCAGGTGGAAGAAATGGACCACCCTTTTTGGCGGGGTGCTGTTTTCACGTGGGAAAGGTTGGCGGAGTGCTAGACATCTTTGCGAACAATCATGAGGCCGAACCATGTAACTTTCTGAGATGAGCCACAGAGCTTGCAGATGAGTCTTGCAATGTTGCGCCGGGCGGAGACAAAAACCATGTGGTATCGTCGCAGCTTGGCTAGTTCGCAGAAGGGACCTCTTGGCCCGCGGCAAGGATGCGGAAGTGTCCGCTGAGGCTTGAATAATGTCCAAGCAAGTTTGTAGGGACTAAACACCAACGCTCAATTGGCACCATGTGGCTGTGGCTCAAAAAGCGTGCCAAAACGGAACCCTGATAATTGGAAACATGGGCCAAAACCTGCGGTTTGCCCCTCCTGTTTAATTTGAGCCACGCCCAATTGGCACCATGTCCATCGCGTTTCGAGTTGCGTTTCGACTTCTGCAAATGGTCCGGGCGCGCGTTTGTTTGGGCGGTTTTGGAGCCTTGCGGAGCCGGGACATGCGGCTGGGCAACACTGGGCTCTGAACTGGCAGCGTGCAGAGAGAGGGAGAGAGAGAGAGAGCGAAATAGAGAGAGAGGGAGAGAGAGAGAGTCAGATGGCCCCCGGCATGTTTTTTTTTTTTGGGGGGGGGTATAGAATAAATATATAAATATATATATATACACATATATATCTATATAAACATGTTTTTGTCCTCTTTGGTCAGCCACCTGGTCTCTCGTGAGGCTGCTGCACTTTGCCGCCCACAAGGGCGAGGTGGGGCTTCTGGACTGGCTCTTGCGCCAGAAAGCCAGGCCTCGGGCGGCCGGGCCTGGGGGCGCCTGGGGGCGCTTTGGTCCGCAGAGACGGAAGTCGAGCCCCCCCAAAAATGCGCCCCCCCCCCCCCCAAGAAAAAAAGAGAGGAAAAACAACAGCAAAAAAATAAAGGCGAGAGGGAGGGAGTTCGTGGTCCGGGAGCTTCGGATTGGGGTTCCTTCTGGTTGGTCGCTCACAAATGCATGAGCAAAGGAGAAAGGGGCTCACCGGCCTCTTCTATGTATCGTTGCTATCATTTTTGGCTTTTGGCTTCCCCTTCTTCCTAGCTTTTGACCACCTGGCTTTCTGACATCTGGTTTCCCAACCATGTGCTTGACATAGTTTGTTTCGTGCAATAGGCCGTATAAAGAGTTTGGACCATGGGACACATTACGGCATACGAGAAAAAGGAACTGTACAGCCAAGCAAGGCGGGGCAAAAGTCAAAATAGATGTGGGTGTGTCTTTCTTGGAGGGCACCGATTTTTTGTGGTTTTAGAGGAAAACCAAAAGGAAGCAAGCAATTCTCGGGGCTCGCCTATTTTGAGGCACGCCATGCGCAGCTCCAAACACTTTCTGATGGATTGCCTCCTTAGGAGTGCATTGGACACAAAAGGCGAGAAAAGCGCAAAGCTGGCGCAATCATGCCGTTGACACAGCAAGTGAAGGCAACGCAAAGCAACAACTTGCCTTCTGGATTGCTGAGCAATGCGAACGCCAAAGGCTGCAGATTCACGGTACTTGAAAGGCAGAACATGGTGAGGCATTCTTCTCCAGCTTCCTTCCCGGAGACGTACGGTTGGCATTTCAGGAGTAGTTTGCGTGGGAGGGATGGCAAGGCATCATCCCAATAGAAAACGGCGTTTTCGCGCTTTTTTTGGGCTCCAGTTCACAAGTTCAGCTTTGCCCGCCTTCTGCGTAAATGAGCTCTGGACCAGAACCAGTCTCGACACATCAGGTTGCTTCCTCGAACAGGTGGTGGTTATGATACATTTGTCTACTGAGAATGTATGTTGTGATGACAAAGCAGACGGATTTTAGCCAGCTCAGATCCACACAGTTCACGAGCGCATACACCTCGGCTACAACTTGCGAGGGTAGAATGTAGAATGAGTTACCCCGGCTTGGCTGTTGAAGCATATGCTTCTTTCTCGATTAGGTTGAACATGGCTAGCATGGATTGTATTCATGCCTGTTACAGAACTTCTGTTTTGGGCCATGCATGAGCAAACATTTGCCTCCCACATCGTGTGTGACAGTGGGTCAGCAACAATGAAACAAGGCAGCGGTTCAGCCAAGTTGGCTGAATCCAACTCCGCATTGGCGACCAATTGCCATGCTTTAGGTGCTTGGTCAACAGCACTTTGTTCTTGGATTCAATTAGTGCGTCAATGGCTTTTCATAGTTCTGAGTTCTGGATTGGGTTAGCGGCAGATGCGTGCTTTCCTGGCGATGGCTTAAGGCTGGCCTACGCATGGTGTTGGATTGGACTGGGGAGTGGATGGGGTGGTTGGAATGCTTGTAATGTAACCTTGCAGTGTTTGAGCCCAGAGGTTCTGGGCGGCGTGGAGAGAATATCCACCTAAGATAGCAACTTGCAGCAATAAGGTAGCCAGCACTAGGGTAGATGACAAAAAGAACATCAGTGAATCAATACCTCCACTGCACACTTTGCTCACAAAATCCTCACTGCGCACCTGGCCCACCGCGCACCCCAGAAACGGATGGTAGGTCGAGTCCAAGTCTTGGCAGGCCAGATATGGCGGATGGCGAGGGCAACACTCCGCTGGTGCTGTGCGCCAAGTCCAACCACGTCCAGGCCAAACCTCTTTTTTTTTTTCGACCTTCGACCGTCTCGGGAAGGTGATATGGCTGTGGGGTGAAAACCTGTGGTCTATGGCATCCCATTTTGGTTGGGATCGGTGAATTCACCACCCATTTTAGGCTTCCTATTTGAGTGGTTGGATTGAATCGGATGTTCACTGGAGCGAAGGGATTTTGACCCACTTTTTTGGGCTGGTGTTTGAAGGGAAACCGCAGGAAGACCAGGGAAGACCGCGTCCCCAAACGAGCTGAGGTTCGGAAGACAGGCACCCCAGAGGGGGAGAGCTCCCTGGCATCTCCAACTTAGGTCTGGGAAATCGTTTTGGCCCAGATTCGGATGACCCAAAGTTATGGTTGGTTGGTCATGGACCCATTTTTTTAGGGTCCTGGAGACTCTGAGTAGTTGGTGACACGTGGCTCAGAAGTGACTCGATCGACTTGTTTTTCGTTGGGCAGGCGATGGAGATGCTCATGGCGCGCGGGGCACCCAGACGATGGGAGCGGAGGGAAGATGTGGCCAAAATGTTGCTTTTTGGTTCTTAAAGGTTCCTTCTTCTTTTTTTTTTAAGCAGGGTCTTTTTCTTCTTCTTTTTTTTTTTTTAAGCAGGGTCTTTTTCTTCTTCTTCTTCTTTTTCCCCACCCGACAGGAAGGGGTTGTTAGATTTTATGTTGGAATCCACGTTTGCGATGCTTCTACACCACGCCCCCACCCAGTATCCCGCCAGAGCAGCTCTCCAGTGGATCCCGCCAAGTATCCCGCCAGAGCAGCTCGTCAGTGGATCCCGCCGAGTATCCCGCCAGAGCTGCTTGCCAGTGGATCCCGCCCAGTATCCCGCCAGGGCTGCTCGCCAGTGGATCCCGCCGAGTATCCCACCAGAGCGGCTCGCCAGTGGATCCCGCCGAGTATCCCGCCGAGCCGCTCGCCAGTGGATCCCGCCGAGTATTCTGCCAGAGCGGCTCGCCAGTGGATCCCGCCGAGTATTCTGCCAGAGAGGCTCGCCAGTGGATCCCGCCGAGTATCCCGCTAGAGTAGCTCGCCAGTGGATCCCACACAGTAGCTCGCCAGTGGATCCCGCCGAGTATCCCGCTGAGTATCCCACACAGTAGCTCGCCAGTGGATCCCGCCGAGTATCCCGCTGAGTATCCCTTGCCAGTGGATCCTGCCGAGTATCCTCCCAGTATCAAGCCGGAGCGGCTCGCCATTATTCGCCAGTGGATCCCGCCAGTGTCCCGCCAGAAAAGCTCGCCAGTCTGGTTTTGCTTAATGTCCCGCCCGGCGCGCAGTGGGGCTGCCCTCGTGTTTTGCGAGAGATCGGAAAGGGAAGCTTTTGTGTTGCTTTGGGTTGTGAATAAGCAACTTCGTTTAATCCCCCGTCAGGTTTGTGTTTGGAAGGGGCTTGGCTTTTGTTAACGGAACCGATGTTTGAGTTCTCGAGATCAGTTCGCAGACAAGTGGAGTTTGAGGGTTGCTCGAAGCGAAGTAATTTTTTAGCAGGGTCTTTTTTTCTTCTTTTTTGTTTAAGGGGAAGCCCAAAGACAAAACACACACAGGCCCGTAGTGTTTGGGGGGTCCCGAGGAAAAACATCCAAGCTTTGGCTTGGGATTCAAGGCCACGGCAAATGCTGCTCGAGTTGGAATCCGTGAGACGCATCTCTAAGGGATAAAGGGGACAATGCCTTGCCTCAAGCCGGGTGCGGATAAGCATGGTGCTGGGTAATTCGACCATTTTAATAACAGGTGTTGATTATTCTAGGGGTACCTTCCCCATTCTAAGCCCAGAGATCCGAATCTTTTCAGAAAACCGTCAGAATTTCAGGGGAAACTGATCCGGCTTTTGAAAAGAATGATGGTTGAAAAGAATGGGGAATCAATTTCTGGAGCATCTGGTTTAATTCATCTTCTTCTGAAGCATGTGGTTTCATCTGCTCATCTCAGATTTTTTTGCATCTACTCACCGTCATTTCTTCAAGAGGTGCTCAACCGAGAGACGGAGCATTTGAGCGCGGCTTCGCAGGCGGAGCCAGCATCGCGCAGAGGACAAAGGACTGCGGACCTCCGCAAGCGATGCCCTGGAGCGGCTTTTTTTGTCGCTTCCGACCAAGCCGCAAGACTCCCAGGATCAGTTTGGCTGCACCAAGCAAGCTGTCGAGAAGTGATTAACAGGACTTTTTTTTTCTCATCGAACGGCAGCTCTGATCTGGAGGAGAAGGGGTCCAAACAAATCATCTCAAGTTTTCCTTTCAGTTTTTTGTTAAAAGGAGTACCCTCAGAAGGACACGCCGATTGGAATGTTTTGATCTGCTTCACCAGTATTTTGCCGCTCAACGCAAGCTTCCCGCTGCCACGATCCAGGAGCAGGGCTTCACTCCCTTGCTGTGGGCTGCCTCTGGGGGCCACCAACGCGCCGTCAAGTCTCTGATTGAGGTCGCGGGGTAGAGCTTACCTTTGAATCGCAAATGAGCCACTTGCTCAAAACCCGGGGATTGATGAAGGTTAGTAAGGGGCAGTCCCAGCCAGAAATAGTTGCGGAATTCCGCCTTCTTGCTGCTTTACATGGTTCTGGGATTACGACCATTTTAATACCGGGTTTTGAGCAAGTGACTCAAATGGCAAGCAGGTCAGCCGGAACAGCTCCAACGCACATGTTTTATCGCGCGTCGGGGCCAAAGCTTCAAGGCGTGACACATCACCAGGAGCAAGAGCAACGTGCTTCAGCCAACCTGGTTGATCAAAAGGTCCGCTTAATGCGGGAGAACCATTGGTTGGAAAACCACCAACACATGACTCAAATGACAATCAATCCCCACATGTTCCCACGACGCACGACGTAGATTAGCTTGCTACAGTCCCGAGCAACGTGAATGAGCTTTTTTGAATGAACGTGAGCCAAAGCCACGGAGCGAGTAGATTCACTACACTCCCCGTTTGAGAGAGATCAAACATAGAGTAACATACTTGCCCCCAATCTCAAGATAATGGCTTTCCGCCATGTGTGCAAGCGGCTTCGGCATGTGCGCAGACGCATGGCAGCAGCTCTTGTCTTTGATGTGTGTGTGTGTGTGTGTGTGTTTGTGTGTTTGTGTGTTTGTGTGTTTGTGTGTTTGTGTGTTTGTGTGTGTGTTTGTGTGTTTGTGTGTTTGTGTGTTTGTGTGTTTGTGTGTTTGTGTGTTTGTGTGTTTGTGTGTTTGTGTGTTTGTGTGTTTGTGTGTTTGTGTGTTTGTGTGTTTGTGTGTTTGTGTGTTTGTGTGTGTGTGTGTGTCTGTGGGGGTGGTGGATAGACTGCATGTAAATGTGCCTCAGTGCTCCTGCATCCCCCAGGGGAACACGTATCGTTCATGTACGGCAGCAAAAAAGGATCGAGATGTGCCACCTCTCCCCGGGCTTGGCTTTCGCCGGATTTTTGTTTGGCTTTCAAGCGGAAGATTGTGACAGAGTGCTTCTGCTCGTCTTTGTCCGTTTGGCCATGCAAGTTGTCGAGCTGTCCTCGCATCTTCACAATGTCAGGTATATCCTTCACTTCCAGAAACTTGGCGGTGATCTCGGAATCGCGACTGGATGAGTTCATGCGAGCAGAGCTGAGCATTTTTGTGGCTCGACAGCAGTATGTCCATTTGTTTATCCAACTGAGGCTTTTTTGGATTCTTGGGACAAGATTTGACCCTCCAGTTCAAGAATACCCCAAATGTGAGAGCCCTGCTCAAAACAGGCTGCAAACTGCTGCTTTTGCTTTGCTAGCATCAACCTGAGCGATGCGAGGGAGTTTCGCATCGCACTTTTCAGGAGTGTCGTGGGGGAGTAGATTCAATTCCTGCAGTGTGTTATTGCGCTCAGACGGGGCATGTTCGCCAGAGCGAAGCAGACATCGCTTCTTTTTCCGGCCCTTGATTGCGAAAAAAAAGAGCGAGGAGGGCGCAGTCAGCGCCAGTGCATCACCTTTCTGGTGGGCCTGGCAGGTCGCGAGCATGTAGCAACCTCGAAGACTTGGTTTTGCGAGAGCAAAAGTCACGGGAAACGCGCCGCCCCCCCAGCTGGGGCGAAAGAACCGGATGGTTTTCGTGAGTTGAGTGGAAATGTCGACATCCTGTGCTTCAGCGATCAAGTTGGCCTTCCTCCACGATCCCGAAAGCAAGACTTCGCATGTGTGACGCTACCCACATTCAGGTTCGACCCGTCGAAGAACGCTTTGCTGCAAATGAACCCCCCCCGCGCTTGCAGGCCAGATCCCTCCATCCCCGCATGTTGGGCTTTTGAGGTGGCTATGGAATCTTAACAGGAAGGAAGGCGCTTCCGCTGGGCTTTGCGCAATGAGGATTTTGTGTGGGACTCGGTTGAGGTATGTTCCACTGGGAGCTGCGTCGAAGAAAATCGGGCCCGATGGCCCCAAAGGCGTGGCCCGCTCCGAGTTCCGCCCCGTCGCCTCCGGCTTCGTGAGGTGGATGCCACTCCGTTCAGGTCCACTGTCTCGTTGTTGTTGGGAAACACTCTTTGCATTTTTGCTTATTGTGGTTTAGTGGGAAGTCCCCACTTAACTGCTAAGATTTAAAATTTTGCTCCCCTTTCAACGTCAACCAAGTTTTCCTCATTCATCATGTGGCTGTGGGTCAAAAATCGGTAGCCCAAATGGGTTGCCCGATCGGTGAGTGGAAAAACATGGACCAACACCTGCGGTCCAATTCCTGGCGGTTTAAGTTTATACCCAAATCCCAAAAGGAAAAAGACCTTGGTGCCTTCTGCTCTCAGTGGGTTTTGTCCCTGGGCGCCCGAGGCAAAGCAGAGGCCCCCGCAGCCCCTGAGCTTCCTGGAGGTGCTGCGGGCCTCTTCCTGCCTGCAGCACCTGGCGCGCCTGGTGCACCAGGAGTGGGGTGGGAGGGAAAGGGCAAGGAACGAAAGGGCGTGTGTGTGTGTGTGTGTATATATATTCTTGAATGAGGCCTGGCAGGCTTGGGTGTTCAAGGTATCAATACTTACTGCAGTTTCAACTATGCCAATGTTGGCTCAAGGTATTGATCCAAACTGGCTAGTTGAGTTTTCTGTCTCAGGAGTGACCTGAATGGCAGGTACTCATGTTGCCGCGCACGGAGCGCCAGGTCCTTTCGCCTGCGGCTTTCATGGACTTCCGCTACGAGGTCAACCGGCTGCTGCGGGGCGGAGAGACCACCCAGGCGTTGGGGCTCGGGGGCTCCGTGGTGGAGATTCGCCACGCAGGGAAGTTGAAAGTGGATTTCCGGAGTTACCGGTTTTTTTTGGGCCCCTTGCAGGTTGTCTCAGGTGTTCCGAGCTGCGGGGTGGGTTCCAATTCCCTTGGTTGGGGACTTGGAGCCGCCGAGGAGTGGTTGCTCAAGTTGAATGGCACATCAATGTGGGGCTGCCCCTGGCATCCACGTTGGAGCATGGGCAGATCTGCTGCGAGGCTGGACGAAGCCAGGGATGGAGTTACCGTGCCTGAGTTCTTCCGACTTTTCAAAGCCCACCAGGATGGCGAGCGGGTCTTCAAGGAGCCATCATGGTTTGCCTATGATTCGCGGGGAGGAAACTTTACCACGACCAGGCCAGCAATAATGCCATGCTCGAGTATATCCCACCCCTTTGTCCAGCCTGCCGTCTTGCCTGCTGCAACGAATGCCCTGGATGCTGGGACCACTATTTGGACTGCGATTCGAGCTCTGGCTCAAGTTAGTTCCGTTGTGGCCGCAGCGCACATGGCAGGGCAGTATCCGGGCAGGTGTGTGGCCGGAGCCACAGGGCATGGGGCGTTAAGCCCTGAGCAGGTGGGAGCCGCGCTAGGGAGCGATTTTAAGAGTTTCGAGGTGTAAAGGGCCGAGGATGCCATCCTTGCTCTTTCCTTTCCCAGGAGAGCGTCGTGCTGGCCTTCCGCAAGCTTTTCCCAGCGCATTCCAGTTCCCAGGCACTGGAGCGTGGAATTACCCTTTGCCGACGGAGCAGCCCCCGGTGTTAGACGACGACCTGTGGTATGCAGCGTCTTTGTACGCCGAGAGCGGAGAGCGACTCCGTAAGCTGCGTGAGCAGTCGCTGGGAGCCCTGCAGAAATGCAGGTGCGCTGGAGTGACCACCCAGTTGAGACGGTGGCAGACATTGGGCTCACTGCTCTCCTCATCGTCCTCAGCTCTTGGGCGGATGTCAGCTACCCGATGGGCTTGGTCGAAGGCCTTCCGGCCGTGGGGACCGCTCAGCACTACGAGATCTTCCCGCAGCAGAAGGGCCACCCCGTTGCGTTGTCCGAGGATGGGAGCAGCGCAACCGCTCCATCATTGCGTCGTTGAAACCAGGGCTACACGATGAGGTGCTGTTGGAGCAAAGCTTGAAGGAAGCCGCCAAAGGCTTCGCTACAGCCCCGCTGCAGTGGGGCGAGCTTTTGCGCCTCACCCAAGGTGAGCATCATCGTGCAGTCCTCCGGCAAGAAGCGGATCATCGACAACGCCGACGCAGGAGGCCAGTCCGAGCTGTCCGTCGACATGAACGAGCTTGTCCTGTGCTCAGCACTTTGGCCGGCGCAGCGTGGGCAGCAGTGGTAGCAGTGGCAGCAGATGCCTGGACCCAGAGGGTTGGAGTTGCTGCCTCTGCGGTGTGACCGTTTCGTGGCAGCATCCGACGCCGGAGGCGCCTCGAGAGGGAGCTGGCGGGTTCCACATTGTCTGGCTCACTGGCAACGAGCAGCTCCGTGAGACTTTCATCGCCCAGACTCCACCCGCTCTCTGTCGCCAATAAACAAAGTGATTGTGCAGCTCGAGCTTTTGATGGTGCTTCTAGCCCTGATTGCCCGGCCCAGCATGTTCCGCGCAAAGAGAGGTGTTTGGTATATCGATAATACTGCTGCGCTAAATTAGCGCAGCAGTATGTGTCTGATCAGAGGCAGATCTGACTCACCAGAATTGGAGCGCATGGGAGGCATGACCCACGCAGCAATTTTCGCCCTTCGGGCCTGGGAGTGGCAAGAGTAACTGGGCAAGATGCAGTTAGTCGCCTAGGTCTGGAGGACCCTTGGTGGAAGGCTTAACAGCTTTTCAAGCGGAGTGTCCGCTGCCCCTCTGGGCGCTCCCGTTTTCTCCCGTTCGAATTTCTGTAAGCGCGTTGGATTTCAAGTGCGTTGGGATTTTAAGCAGGAAGCGATCCTGCATGGCCATGCAGGGAGTGACCCGCATGGCCCACCCCCAGAGCAGGTGTGAACCTGCTTGGTCGGTGGGTCTAGCCAACGCATTACCCTGTCGGTGACACAGGTTGGAAACGAGCATGGACGAGTGATTGAAGACAAAGGAGCTGCACCGTCAGGGCTGACGTAAACCGGAGATATAGGTTGACTGCAAGTAGGAATGTATATATGTATATATTATATGGATATCTACAGACATACATACATACGTACATATACATATATACACATAGGTACATGTTTGTATGTTGTTGGT